CTCCTCCTCCTCCTCCTCCTCCTCCTCCTCCTCCCTTTGCTGTCCTTAAACCTTCATTCCCAATTTCCACCTCTCAGCTAGCCAGGATTACAGACTTAGTCACAATGCCCAGAATATTTCCCTTTAATCAAATGGAAAATGTTACAAATCTTCCCATTTGCCTTTCAATTTATACTTAGATAATCTTTCATTAATAATTTCCCAAAATATGGCATTCAGGTTTTTCTTACCAAAAAAATTCCTAATAACAACACTTGAAAAGCAGCTAGTCTCTACTTGAGTAATTTAAAGGTACACAATATAAAGTATAAGACTATCATAAACAACCTAGTCCTTTTGGCTTTACTACTTTAAGAATTTAATCCTATAGTAATGTGAGATATCTCATCTTCCAAATATAATTAAATCTGGGGCCTTTGAATTTCAGAAAAGCCAAAGAGGAAGCATTAAAACTGGAAGAGGAAGAGCGGAAAATAATGGAAACGATAAACAAGAAAGCAAAAGGCAAGCACACATTTATGTGACTGATAATGTGTCGTTTTGTCTTCTATTGTTAGTTTCAGCATAGGCAGTATGTCAATTGAATTCTAAATAGTGCAATATGCTTCTCATTTGGCCAATAATTCCAGAACCTGTGGTTCTGAAGTATTTCTAGTGCCCCCTTCACTCTCAAAATCTTCCAGTTTTGATAATAAAGTATATGGTCACTGGAGTAACAGATTCATAGTAACAAAAACAACTTCTATTCTAAATAAGAAGAAGGCTATACTAAATAAGAAGAGTACACAGAGATATACATGTGTACTCTCTAAGAGGGACACACAGAGGAATCAGATAGGCAGCATGTCTTCCAGTAGTTGCATTTGTCATGATGACACATTGGAATTCTTCTATTAGAAAAATCTCACAAGAGTTGACAAAATAGCTGAATTCTTGCTATACACAATTGTCTTTACACGTAAGCTTCCATCTTTGTTACAGGAGAACTTCCTTTTAAGATGGGAACCCTTACTCATGTTTGTAATTCTAGCTACTCAGGAGGTCAACATCTGAGAATAATAATTCAAAGTCAGCCCAAGCAGAAAAGTCTGTGAGACTCTTATCTACTGTTAACCAGTAAAAAGCCAGAAATGGAGATTTGGCTCAAGTGGTAGAGACCCAGCCTTGAGTGAATAAAAGCAAAGAGGTATCACTTATGGCTGAGTTCAGGCCCCAGTACAAGCATAAACAATAAAAACAATAAGCTAAAAAAAAAGATTAGAGCTATTGAAATTGGATCCATTGGTAATATTCGGAGGTCTGTGAACTTCACAGGGAAAATAATTCTCATAATATTTTCACTAAACTTTTATTGAAGTTTAGTATTTTCTTCAACTGTTAATACATGCAACAAACCAAAATAACACTAGCAATACCTTGATTTGTCGTTAATAAAAGTAGTTTCATATCACATTATAGTTTTATATCTTATGTATGCTTGTTGCTGTTGTAAAATGATAGTACTTAATAATACATTAGTACACTAATACATTAGTAAAGATGTACAGATTTCCTGTAGCACAAAATTTTTTTATATCTTTGATGGTACAGTGGCTTGAACTTAGGACCTTGAGCTTGCTTAGCTTACTTGTTCAATTGATGCTCTACCACTTGAGCAATACCTATACCTATATGGTTTTTGCTGGTTATTTGGGATATGAAATCTTGAGAACTTTTCTGGCTTCTAATCACGATCCTCCTGATATCTGCCTCCTGAGTAACTAGATTTCAGGGATGACTATCCATGTCCAGAGTATTTTCTATGTTCGTAAGCATATTTTGTGAGTTTCATGAATATATAACAGACACTTGAGGAAATGAGTTTTTTGATGCCCCTGTCATCTTTCTTCCGGGAAGGCTTCCATGTAGATTAATGGCAATCAACAACTACATAAAAATTTGAATTGTGCTTTCTAAATTTACAGTTAACATGTTGATCAGCAAACTATGTTATTTATTATTTATAATTAACTGCAATAAAATCTATAACTATATGCATTCAACCCTAGTGCCAAGAATAGTGCCATATTGCCAAATGGGTAACTTTCCATTTTCTAGTCTGGATATCTGTTTGAATAGATACCGAACCCAGGGGGTGGCTCACGCCAGAAATCCTAGCTACTTAGGAGACGGATCTGAGGATCATGGTTTGAAGCCAGCCTGGGCAGAAATCTGTGAAGCTCTTATCTCCCATTAACCAGCAATAAGCCAGATGTGTCACTTTGGGTTCAGTACCTATCACCACTCAACAAGTATTTGCTTACTTAAACTCGAGTTTTTAGGAAGTATTCTAATTGTTCCTAGAAGCTGACGAGACTGAAATTGAGAATGAAGAAGAGCTTGAAGGTAAGGATCCTGAAGACCGTGATGAGCCCGAGCCATCTGAAATATCCGATGAAACCAGAGGGTCATTGTTCCCAGAGCAGGCTGATTCTCTTGGGCGCCAGGAAAGAAAACGTCCATCAGGTTAGAGTTTACTAAAAGCCTTTAGCTTGTTTGTTTTGTTTGTACTTTTGATCTAATCAAACTTAAGCCTGAGAGAAAAATTTTCTCTGGGGCATTTAAGTCCTCTACAGAGTTATCCTCTTAAATAACAGCTATTCACATGGAAACTATTTTTTTTTCATAAACTCCCTCCTGATAGACATTTTGGAAAGAGGCACAGCCCGTCAATACTTCTGCACGACACTGGTATGATCCTTCAAAGTCAGCGAGAGAGGACCCTGTCTATATGGCGGCAGAATCATTGGTCATTCTGTTGAGATGGTGCAACAGTTTCTCCAGTTTTTGTCTATTCCAGCTTGCTTCAGAGCCCTTCCAGGATCACTTATAAGTTTTTTACTAGATAATTATTGTTTATCAACCCTATTAACCTTCCTCTCTTTGACAGCTTTCAACAATTTGTACTTTTTCTCTATATTCTTTGAAAACATATTCTCTATACCATTGTTTTATTTTCTGCTCTTATTGCCTCTTCCTCTCATTGTTGCATATTTTCATTATACAATTGCATTTCACATTTCCTTCATTTTCTTGTTTAATCTATTCCTATATTTCTCCCTTCATGTTATATCAGTCTATCTTCATGTCCCAAGAGCTCCTATGTCAGAGACTCTGTCATCCTCTCACATTTTTTGAGTACTTCAGGCATGTGCCTTGTAAATTTTTTCTCTGCTCTAGGTACGAAATCATTTTCACAAGCAAACTCTTCATCTGAATCTTTGAATCAATACTCTCCTTGCTTTTATCTTAACTGTTCATAAAATACCCTAGCAATTATCAGCAGAAAGAATGGGTAGAGTATTTATAAGAATCTCTCTGCCCTCCTTATCTTCCCTGACTCCAACCCCCATCACAGACATGTGAATTCTTTACTTAAACTCCTCTTCCTTATATCTGGCACTTTGCAGATATAAACCTGATATGTATGATATAGATTAATGTGCAATAACTTAGTTCTAATTGTAATATTTAACCAATATTCAGCTTGTATGGCTCTTCTCAACCATTACCTCATCCATTACAATTTCTGATTCAGCCAGGAAAGCTATGGCAGTTTAGAATGATCTGGATTTTCTCAGTGCTCTTCACTATTTCACAGTCACCATGCTTTAATTAGTAGAGCAATTTTAATTAAACATGCCACCCATAGGCCAGTCTTGGACTAGATGGATGGATAGATGAATGATAGATGAATGGACAGACAGACACTCTTCTTCATGCACACTGAATCAGTATGTGAAGTATGACTTAGAGCATCCAGGAAAATTATTTACAATCTGTACCTTTGGCAGTGAAACCAGTTGTGATTCTCCTTTGTTTTCTCTGTGCTGACTACCATAGCTGGGACTTGGCAGTATTATTGAGCCTCATCACTGTATGGCCTTTTGATTTATTTTCATGGTTGTTTAAATGAGAAATGAAAAAGATTATCAGATGCCACAAATCTAATGCTGTATTACCAGAAGTTTGGAAAATATTTAAGAACAGTTGTCAAGCAGAATTACATTGCTATGTGTGAATTATTATTCTTGTCAATGCCTTTTTATATATTTCAGAATATTTATTATTTTCTACCTCATACTCTCATGTACTTTATGCTATCTTTTACCTAACAAGAGAAGCATTTTCATTAAACATATCATGCACAATTTAAACTTAAACTGTTTTTAATTTTTCCTTGTGCCAAAACTTTCCTAAAGAAATAACATTTTAAAATGTAAATGCTAACTATCTGATTGTTTTCTTAAGTCACTGAGCCTAGAGTGGTTACTCCAGCTCGAACAGAAACTTCAAAAGGATCTACAGAGGGCACAGAAACAGGTAGACTATGCAATGATAGCAACTAGTTCCTAAACATGTTTTCATGTTTCTTACAAATCTCTGGTTCTCTATTTCAGGCAAAGTTTCTGCTTCCTATTTCTTTTTTTCTTTTTATGTTGCATGCTAGCTGGTATTTATATATCTTATTCCACTTAAAGTATATATCACCAGATGCTGATGGCTCACATCTATAATCTTGGCTGAGATCTGGGGCTAGTAATTCAAAGCCAGTCTAAGCAGAAAAGACTATGAAATTCTTATCTCCAGTTGACCAGCAAAATAACTGGAAGTGGAAGTTTGGTTCAAGTGGTAGAGAAACAGCATTGGGGGAAAAAAATAAACAAGAACTCAAGGCCCTCAGTTCAAGCACCAACGCTGGCACAAAAATGAATGAATGTATTAGAATGACTAGCATCTAGCTAGTCCATAGCTTTTGAGTTTCATCCAATTTTATTCATTCATTTATTCATTCATTCATGATACTGAAAATTGGACTCAGGGCCTCATGCTTATGAGGCAGGGACTCTGCCACTGGAGCCAGGTACTCAGCTTTTTTGTTTTACTTATTTTCAGATAGAATCTCTTGCTCATTGCCTTGATCCTCCTGAGATCAGCCTCCCTAGTAGCTGGGATTACAAGAGTGAATAGCTGCTCTTTGCTACAGTCTTGGGTTTTTGCCCAGCCAGACTTGGGCTGAAATCCTCTTGCTTCTACCTTCTGTGTAGCTGGGTCACCAGGCCCAGCTATATGTTTTATTTTATACATGTTATTTTATAACATGTGGGGTTTGAGGCCTGGCTCAGTTGTTAAGAGAGTCGGCCAATTACCAAAAGTGTCAGATAATCAAGTTTGAGTGTCTCAGACTAAAAACAAACAAACAAAAACAATAACTCGAATTAACTCACAATTTAAGTTTCAGTAATAGGTAATAATAATTCATCCCAAAGGAACAAAGCATAGTTAAAATGTGAACTTGTAAGCATATACTGTTACTTAAAATACTGTTTATTTCTTCCAAATGTTTCTAAAATATTATAAAGTATAAATCACTTTGGCAGTACAGCGAATGATAGGATATTTAAAGCCTCTTTGTTTGTTCTTTTATCATTTACTCCAGATGCTGTACTGCCTGAGTTTCCAGAAGATTCTTATCCTGATGTCCCAGAAATGGAGCCATTTAAAGAAAAAATAAATACTTTCGCAGCCGCCTTGAAACTGCTGGAACCAATATTAAATGAATCTTCAATTCCATCTTTAACCATGGAGATTGCCAACAAAACACCAGAAGAGGTGTTTCAAAAAGTACTTGATACCATGGAAAGTAAGGCTGTTAACATTGACAATCAAGAGAAGGTGCTAGTTTTAAAACATCTTGAAACTTTAAAACCCTTTTATTTTGATGTTATTATTGGGACCTCTAACTTTCCTTTAGTTCTGTACCACATGAGCCATACCTTCACTTGTGGCTTTTTTCTGGTTAGTTATCCATAAGACTATTTCAGATTTGTCTGCCCAGACTGGCTTCAAACTGTGGTCCTGTAACTAGAATTATAGGTAGGCCTAAACCACTGGTGCCCCACTAAAGCCTTTCTTGAGTATTCATGACATAAAGTTTCAGTATATCCAAGGAAAGTGGGTAAGATATTTTACAATTGCCATGATACGTGACATATGATACATGCCATGATAATTGCCTGATCCGTGGGATACATAAGGCCCTGGTCATCCTGGCCAGTTTGGATATTTTTGTTGTTGTTGTTGGATGTGTGTGTGTGTGTGCGCGCGCGCGCACGCACATGTGTGTGTGCACACGTGCACGCGTGCCAGTCCTGGGGCTTGAACTCAGGGCCTAGGCGCTGTCCTTGAGCTATGTTGCTCAAGTCTAGTGCTCTATCACTTGAGCCACAGCTCCACTTCCAACTTTTTGGAAGTTCACTAGAGATAAGAGTCTCATGGGCTTGCCTAGCATGCATGAAACTCTGGGTTCCATTCTTCAGTACCACATAAACAGAAAAAGCTGGAAGTGGCACTGTGGCTCAAGTGATAAAGTACTAGTCTTGAGCAAATGAAGCTTTGGGACAGTGCCCAGGCCCTGAGTTCAAGCCCTAAGACTGAGAAAGAAAGAAAGAAAGAAAGAAAGAAAGAGAGAGAGAGAGAGAGAGAGAGAGAGGGAGGGAGGGAGGGAGGGAGGGAGGGGAGGGAGGAAGGAAGGAAGGAAGGAAGGAAGGAAGGAAGGAAGGAAGGAAGGAAGGAAGGAAGGAAGGGAAATTTAATGTTTGGGCTGGGAAGGTGGCTCAATAGTAGAGTGCTTGCCTTGCATGCATGAGGCCCTCAGCACCCCATAAGCAGAAAAAGCCAGAAGTGGTGCTCTGGCTCAAGTGGTAGGGTGCTATCCTTGAGCTAAAGAGCTGAAGGACAGCACCCAAGCCCAGAGTTCAAGGCCAATGACCGACAAAAAAAAAAAAAAAGAATCTCATGGACTTTCCTGCCTGGGCTAGCTTTGAACTGTGGTTCCCAGATCTCAGCCTCCAGAATGGCTAGAATTATTGGGATAAGTCACCAGTACCTGGCACAAACTGAGCTGAGAGACTAATAATAGGGAGTAATTTCCCTAACCCTTTGGCTATATCACAATGTTTTAGTTTTAAAATGTTTTCTTCAGTGACTTCATTTTCATTCACAGAAACTTTCCGATATGCTGCATTGGAGTTAACTATGGAAGACTATGAGGAAGAAACAGAAGACTTTCAGGCAGAGGGAGAAGATGAGGAGTTAGAAGAAGAGGAGGAAGAAGAAGAAGAGGCATGGTTGTTTTATTTCCACCCATTCTCACTTGGCAAGTCATGAAAGATAAACATCCATCCCTTTGGAACCCAAGTGAACTAACAGGGACCCTCTACCTAACAAAAGCAATATTTTCACGCCTGCTCCCCAGTTCACTTTACTATCAAAATGCCAGGGCTACTAACATGAAAAAAAAAACACATGAAAGTATGAAAGGGAAACCTTTTTAAATGTTTGCCATATTGTTAGCATTACACACTACTTGTTATTGTAACCCAACGTAAGCCCAAATTTATAAGTGTGTATGTACATGTGTATGTGTGTAAAGCAACAAATGCTAGACAACATGAGTCAGATAACAGCTTTCAGTCTATTGCTAAGGAATAGACTGGCTAAATGATGTCAGTTCAGTTCTGCTTATGTTCAGATTCTCTTCACCAGCCTGCCTCTGCAGTGTCTCTCTGCCCCACTTTGGCCTGCAGTAGAATAGTTCCTTATGTGTATCTGCAGATAGTTCTCAAGCAGTCTATAATAATTAAAACATAGCTTATATATGGCCTTCACTAATAGTACAGGGAAGACTCCCATTGTTCACTGGACATTGGGTAGAATGGGGAACAAATGCTGTTTGAATTACACCTAACATAAAAACAAGAGCCAAAAAGATTAAATTGCTTACAAGTAACAAGAAGAAAGCTCAAGAATATTTATGGGAAGAAAAGATTACATGGCCTGCAGGAAAATATGATTTACAATGACTCATTGTGTTAATCAATTGAAACAAATCCATAGTTAATATATTAGAATTAACTATCAAAGTCATTAAAGAAATTATTTTAACTGTACTTTATAAATTCAAAATGCTAAACAGATACTGAAGATAAAAAATATTCAACTTGAGCTTTTGGAAAGTACAAAATATGGAATGAAATATATAATAAATGGAATGATGATAGTTTAGCTGTTGCAGAAAATTAGTGAACTTAGAACTGAAGGTGAGGCTTAAGTGGTACAGCACCAGCCATAAGCAAATAAAGCCAAACTAGAGTCTAAGGTTCAGACTTCAAAACCAGTGCCAGCATGGGAGGAGGTGAGGAAGATAAAGAAAATTAGTCAACTTAACTAGCTAAAATGAAAGAAGAAAGGAAAAAAAATCCTGAAAAATTAAAAAAAAAACCATGAGCAATACAGAGAAAATTTCCATACAGCCTAGTTGAATTCTTTTTTCTTTTTTTTTTTGGTCTGTCATGGGGCTTGAACTCTGGGCCAGGGCACTGTCCCTGAGCTCTTCAGCTCAAGGCAAGCACTCTACCACTTGAGCCACAGCACCACTTCTGGTTTTCTGGTGGTTTATTGGAGATAAGAGTCTCACGGACTTTCCTACCTGGGCTGGCTTTGAACTGTAATCCTCAGATCTCAACCTCCTGAGTGGCTAGGATTACAGGCATGAGCCACCAGCACCTGGCTTTTGAATTCTTAATAAGTGTTATGCATCAATATAAAATCCATGGGTCCACATAGAAAAACCAGTGGGATCTGCAACAAAAGCTACTAACAAGAGACTTTAGCAAAATTACGATATTTCTATCAATGCTCAGACATCCATCTTGTATCTATAAGTAAGCAATGAATAATAAAAATTTAGTTTTTAAATGCTTTCAAATAGGATCAAGAATATGTAATTCTAAGGGATAAATTGCACAAAAGATATCCAATTTTGATGTACCTTTTAAACATCAAAAGCTCAGAAAAATTGAAGAAGGCCTAAACCCATGGAAAGATATAAATACCTGAGTTCAGAGGTTCAATATTGTTAAACTATCAATTTCCCCAAGCATTATCTATAGGGTACATAGAATCAAAATGTGAAATATCATGATTAAAAACCTGTATACTTTTTATTAAAAAGTATGAATTCATTATGTGGAAATACAAAGTACTTAAAATAACAAAATCATTTTAAAAGAAAAATTAAGAGAATGAATACCATGTTATTTCAAGATTTACTAGTTATAAAACTACAGATATCAAGACAGGATTACTTGGCATAAAACAGACAAAATAGAGGAATAGAACACAAAATTGAATGATTCCTAACCAAAGTACAGAGGCAATTCAGGGAGCAAAGAACAGAAATTTTAACAAATAATGCTATAGCAGTTGGACTTCCCTTTATGAAATAGTAAAATTTGAACCAAATCCTCCCATAAGAGCTAAGTGAGGTGGCTTGAGGCTAAAATCCCAGTTACTCTAGGAGGAAGAGAGATCCTTAGTTTGAAGCCAGCCAGCTCAGGCAAAAAAAAGTTATCAAGACCTCATCTCACCCAACCAACAAGCCAGATGTGGCAATGCACACCTTGTTATCCAGCTACAAGAAGCATACAGCCCCAAGTGAAAACATGAGACCCTATCTAGAAAGTAAACTAAAGCAAAGAGGGCTAGAGGTATAGCTCAAGTGACAGAGTACCTGCCTTCAAGTAAAGGCCCTGCCCTCAAACCCCAGTACTGCCACAAAAAGAAAAAAGAAAATTGACAGAGAAAAGCTTCATGTTACAACAGAAGTTGAAAGTTAGAATCAGCAGATAAAATATACAATACCTAGTTAGGTTTGAATTACTGAAAAATTAGCAATTTTATATATACTAAAAATGTTTTATCTGAAATGCAATAACCAAAGCAGCTTGATTTTATTTTTAGTCAGTTAATCTGACAACTGTACTTTTAAGTTAAAGCTTGAAAAAAATGTGTTCAACTGAAGAACTCCAGGCAAAACACAACAAAATAAACAAACAAAAGTAGAAGGGAGAAGATGAAAGACAAAAACTAATGAAATAGGAAAACATAATAAAAAACAGTAGACCAGAAATGAAAGTTGGTTTACTGATGAGCAATAAAAGAGACAAATGTGTGGTGAGTTGAATTAGGTAAAATGAGAAAGCAATAAATAAAACAAAAATGACTTATCAGACATTTGTAAGGACCATTTTGAGATACAAGGACTTTATACTAATACGTTTGAAAGTTAAAAAAGTATTTTTATCCTCCTAAAGATCAAATTAGGAAGAAAGATAAATACTATTTTTATGCCTAAATGTATGTCTGTTTGCCACATATATTGGGAGCGTTACTTAGAAGATGGAGTATGTAAGGATATTCTCTAAACTGACTAATATTTCTAGAATGAAGAAAAAGTTAAAGAGAAGAAGAGGCACTTGGGAGACACAAGACACTTCTGTCCAGTGGCTCTCAAAGAAAACTTCATCCTACAGCCAGGCAGCACAGATGAAGCAGTCAAGTATCGCGATAAGATCTACTACTTCTCCACTGTGGAGGCTAAGGAAAAGTTTTTGGAGCATCCTTATGAGTATGTGGCTCATGGCCAACCGTTAAAGGTAAACACAGTATTCCTATCCCAGTAATTGCTCCCAAGGTCTTTTGAAAGGGCTTATTACTGCCTCCCCCCATCTCCAATCTCATAGAATAAGGTAATGAGAAGACTGAAGTTCAAAGAATGTGCAATGTAACAGACTGTTTGGATTTCTACAGTTATGCCTATGTCAAACCAGCACTTAACATCCGTCTTTTTATCTGAAGTGAAAAGACAGCTGAATGGACTGGTTACTAAATGAACAATCTAGTCACCTTAGAAAGGGAAGTGGGAATTCTGGAACCCAGGGATTGGTGGGTTTTCAAACATTAATGAGTTGCTATCATCTGTAAAATTGTGATTGCTTGGTAGAAACTCCCTTTGACTGGTTCACTCTCAGAGGCCTATCTGTAGAGTAAGCTTATTTTTGACTCGTTGAGGCCTGTTTCCAGAATAAGCCAATCTTGACTGGTTGTTTTTCTGGAGTAAGGGCTGACACTGATTGGTTGAACTGCAAAAATGTTCCCTGGTCAGTTTGTGGAATAGTTAGTGTTATCAGTTCTACCAAATAATCTGGGTTTTTTTCCTTTCATTATGAGAACACTTAATACTATTTGATCTATCACCATTGGAACAGTTTTCTATCTACTAAAAAGCATTAAAGCCAGATACAAAAGGCAAATACTTACGATTTATTCCATTTGTATGCTGCATCTGGAATAGGCAAATTCTTAGAGAAAAGGGAGAGGGAAGGGAGTAGGAGTTAGCTATTTAATGGATACAGGAAATTTCCAGGTTGGGGTCATGAAAAATTCTGAAGATGGATAATGGGATAGGTACACAACACCAGGATTTTATTTAATGCCACTGAACTGTGCACTTAAAATGCTTTAAGTAGTACCTTTTATTTTTAGTATATTTAACCCAAATTAAAAAAAAACTCATGTGGCAATTACTTTTTTCATTTGTGAAAATGAGGCACACACACAGAGCACTGACTTTAGAGAAGAGAATTAATCTTTATGTCTTTCTTTCCCATTTTCTTCTATAGGATTCCATATTCTTCTTAGTGTACATATAATGCTTTACGATTTTTCTTACTTCTATCACAGAAAAGACATACATATTCCTACATTAATCTCCTAGTGCTGAGTTGCTTTGGCATACCATTTTAGTATGTTTCACTGTTAGACATTTTTTCACAGTATGTTTAATAAAACTATTTTGCCACAGTGGATTTAAATCATAGTCAAGTAATCTTTGGAGCAATCATTTGTTGTTTTCATGAATTCTTTTCTTACTCTAACTCCCTGAAGTGGGATAGCTGGATAAAGATGTATAAATTACAGTTTGTTGAATTGTTATTTTTATAATACCTTGCTTTCTTGAACTGAGAATATAGAATACAATTTAAAGTCTTCTAGGTAATTTTTGTGAGCCTCAATTCTGTAATGTCCACAGAACCTAAGGAAGTGTGTGGCTTTCTTTAAGAATTCCCAACCTTGTGGCATTAGAAGTCATTTGAGCACTGTGGCCACTTACCTTTTGGCTGCTCTGGGTGGTTGTTTCCTCTTAGATTTGCTGCTTGCCATCTATTGCCTCATTTTACACAAATCCAGGTGGAGACAACCCTGAAATCCAGAAGTGATTCCACAGTGTCCCTCTATATGCCAGTCATTCCCATTTCCCAGAGGCCAAATGTATGACTGAGGTGTTAATTTAGCAATTTTATCATGTGGGACTTAAAACATGATCCAAAAGTGCAGTGTGAGGATACAGCTACATAATTTCATAGCATCCTGTTTTCATGATTCTGTTTTTCATTATTTTCTCAAATGATGGATGTTAAATACTGTCAGGGGCTCCATTGTTGAATGAATAATGGAATCAAGCCCAGGGGAAACATTTACACTAAGATAATGAAGGACAATGTCCCATAGAGCAATACAGAAATACTTATCATAAGGGTAAAGAAATTTGCATAGCAAAATAAATAGCTTTTTATTTTGTGTCTTGTATTTTTTAACTGCTGTTATATACTAACACACATAATAACCAACTTTATATCAGATATGTCATTATCTGGCTTTCTATGTATATTTGACAATTTGTAGGGAATAGATTTCTAGGCTGCATATCATTTTTGTCTGAGTATTAAAGACATTGTTTTCTGTGTGCAGGCATCTAGTGCTGAGCCTGGCTGCCATTCCTTTATATCTAATCCCTCTGTTTTTAAGGTCTAGAAGTTCATAAGGTCTTCTCTTCCTTCTTAGTGTTCTTAAAATTGTCCACAATGCCTGTTTAATATAAAAAAATCACTATTTTGCACACTAGGGAATCCTCAGATTTCATGGTAATAGTAAACTTTTCGCTCTCATTTTTTAAATTTTTTTTACCCTTATAGCTCTTATTATTCTTTTTTTGGGGGTCCGGTCGTGGGGCCTGAACTCTGGGCCTGGGCCCCTCAGCTCTTCAGCTCAAGGCTAGCGCTCTACCACTTGAGCCACAGCGCCACTTCCAGCTTTTTTCTTTTTGCTTATGTGGTGCTGAGGAATCGAACCCAGGGCCTCAGGCATGCAAGGCAAGCGCTCTACCACTGAGCCACCTTCCCAGTCCTTATTATTATTATTTTATTTTAAGTAGTTGTACAAAGGAGTTACCAGCTTAAATATCAGTTTATATCTTGGTCAATGGCATCCCTTTATCATCTTTCAAATAACTTTGTTTTCTTTGTGGTCTTGCTGTCTGCTTAAACATCTATTAAAAAAATGTCTTTCCTTTACTTTGTGATAACATGGATCCTCTTTGTTTTTCTGGTCTACTTATCCCTGTATTTTTTTTTAATTTTATTTATTTTTTGCCAGTCCTGGGGATACTGTCCCTGAGCCATTCTGTGCTCAAGGCTTGCGCTCTATCACTTGAGCTACAGCACCACTTCTGGCTTTTTCTGTGTATGTGATACTGAGGAATCAAACCCAGGGCTTCATGCATGCTAGGCAAGCACTCTACCACTAAGCCACATTCCCAACCCTTCCTGTATGTCTTTGACTCTTTCCTAAACATTTCCTCCACTAGGACAAATATGATAAGGCTGTGCTCCAGCTGCTGCTGCTTGAAATCTAGTAGATCCCTTACCTCTAGGGAAAACTTGCCTGTCCAGATATCTCACCTTCTCCCCACTTCCTGTTGCTGGCACGTGCTAATTTCACAATCACTTCCCACCCCCCCCCAAATTCACAGGAGTTTCACCTGCTGCTTCACACCTAGGGTTACCCCTCTCCTTGACAACTCCAGCATACAATGGTCATCCAGGAGTCACTGGGGTCTCTGGTTTCCAGAGTCCTCATCTCTGTTGTGGAGACCACAACACGAAAAAGCAAGGCCTCCAAAGTTAGTAATAATAGGCTTTTTATTTGGTAGAGAAATCTCTTTTCATCACATTAAGAAAGTGACTCCACTTACCACTAATGTTAAAACTTTTCTTTAAAAAAACAAAAAAACAAAGCTAGTTTCATTTTATGAAGTGTTTTTCAGCATATGATGGCAAGACAGTCTTAGGATTGTTGGTACTCCCTGAGGAATGTTGCTGGTGAAATGATCTCTGGTTGTAATGAATTCTGTTATTCTGATATCCTAATGCCCTTGAACTGATAAAAAAGATCATTCCTATTAGTATTAGGGAAGGTAGTTAATAAGCCTTATGTTTTCTGAATTACTCAAAAGGTTTTTTGTGGTTGTTGTTTTATTCTCCCTCTGCCCCACCTTATGTCAGGCCCCACCAATAAGAATATGCCTCCTGGGTCCCCGAGGCTCCGGCAAAACAGTGCATGCAAGATATTTGGCCAAAAAGTTTGGCATTTTTCATATTCAATTTGATGAATTTCTTCAAGAAAAAATGCTACTCAAAACTGAAAGGAAATTCGGACCTGATTATGAGGATGATTCTGAGGAGGAACAAGTTACAAAACAAGAACTTGAAGAGCTTGCAATTCAGGCCAATGTTAAATTTGAAGAAGAAACCACTAAGAAGCGGGTAACTTCTCATCTAGAATATAAAATATTGAGTTTTGCATGGCTTTAATTTTTTAAAAAATCCTTCCCTGCCTAGATTATTGGATAACATTTATTTGAGAATATATGTCTGGTCAGGAAAATAAAGTTTTTCACTATTTTGTTTCTATGAAATAATATAATACCCTAGAGCAGATGGAGATTTCAAAATATCAATTTCTAATGCTATCTATTAAGAAACTTTGTGACAAGTGTCAGTGGCCCACACTTGTAATCCTTGCTGCTTGGGAGGCTGAGATTGGGGAGTTGTGGTTAAAGCCACACTGCCCCTTCCCCCAAAAAAATTGCATGACTCCTTTCAACTAATAGCTGGGTACAATGTCATGTGCCTGTCATGCTTAGCTGCGTGGGAGGCAAAGATTAGAGGACAGTAGTTCCAGGCTAGGCCAGGCCAGAAAGTTTTTTGAGACTTGATTTCAATAGAGAAAACATAAGTGTGATTATATATGCCTGTCTTCTCAGCAGCAACAGGTAACATAAAATAGGTAGATCACCATCCTGGCATATGCCCACATAGAAAGCATAACCCTATCTCAAAAATAACTAACCAGTAACCAGTAGTGTCTCACATCTATAAATTTATCTGAGAAGCTGGCACAGTGGCACTATGATCCTAACAACTGTGAGAAGTCCAAAGTAGGTAGATCACATTATGGACACATACCTGGAGGAGAAGCAAGAACCTATCATAGAAATAACCAGGGAAAAACATGTGGTTGGAAGCAAGCCCCGGCAGGAAGGTCCAAGACACTCTTATCTCCAATTAATCACAGAAAAATCAACAAGTAGCACAGTGACTCAAGTGATAAAGCCCTAGCCTTAAGCAAAAATGATCTCAGGGACAGCACCCAAGCCCAGAGTTCCAGCCTCAGGACCAGCCAAAAAAAAAGCAAAAGAAACTCAGGGACAACACCTAGGCTCTGAGTTCAAGCCTCCAAACCAGCAAAAGAAATGGGGCTGTTGGCTGTTGAGTTGGTACAACACCAGCCTATGAGCAAAGCAGTAGGTACCAAGTTGAGTCCTGGTATTGGAACAAAAAAATAGGGCTGGAGGTGTGGCCCAGAGGTAAGACCACCAGCTTAACAACATGAGACTCAGAGTTCAAACCCCAGTTCAAACCCCACTTCTGCCAAAAATAAATAAATAACGAGTACAAAAAAGGGAAGCAGGGCACTGGTGGCTCACACCTGTAATCCTAGCTACTCAGGAGGCTGAGATCTGAGGATCATGGTTCAAAGCCAGTTGGGACAGGAAAGTCCTTGAGACTCTTATCTCCAATTAACTACCAGAAAACCAGAAGTGGAGCTGTGGCTCAAGTGGTAGAGCCGTCACCTTGAGCTGAAAAGCTCAGGGACAGTGCCCAGGCCCGGAGTTCAAGACCCATGACTGACAAAAAAAGGGGGGGTGTTGCCCAGTGTTGAAGCACCTACAAATACAAACAGCAAGACCTTGAGTTCAAAGCCCAAAATTGCCTCTGCCAAAAAAAAAATCATTCTAAGAAAACTCTTGTTGTTGTTCCAAGGATAGTCTTTCTTCAGAGAAAGCTTACTTAATTGCTGGGCGCCGGTGGCTCACACCTGTAATCCTAACTCCTCAGGAGGCTGAGATCTGAGGATTGTGGTTCAGAGGCAGCCCAGGCAGAGAAGTCTGTGAGACTCTTATCTCCAATTAACCACTAGAAAACCAGAAGTGGCGCTGTGGCTCAAGCAGTAGAGTGCTCGCCTTGAGTTGAAGAGCACAAGGACAGCACCCAAGCCCAGAGTTCAAGCCCCATGATGGGCGAAAAGAAAGAAAGAAAGTTTACTTAGGCTAATTATCAATTCTGTTATTATGATGATGATTGTATTTCAAATGACTGCCATGATTTGGCCATCTTCTAATCAGGATCTAGGATGAAGATATAAAATTATAAGATACATGATTATTTTAAAAAAATGAGTTTTGCCTTGCAGGTATGTGAGGGAAACTGAACAAAATTTTAGTAAAACATCAAGAGTTCTAAGGCCACATGAAATTAATCATGTCATCACTGACCACTCCTCTTAGCTACAATGGATTCGATTTATAATCAAATTTAATAATGATATAAAGATAAGAGCTTTTTACAATGCTCATAAGCAGAAATCTAAAATAAAATCTCAAGAGACAAATAAGTCTCATTCTAATCATTTATATAATGCAGTCTTCTTTATCTTCTGACCTTTATCTTTAGCCTCTGGACGTAAAATTTACAGAAGAAGAAGAAGCAATCAAAGCAAGTCTGGTGGAAAATGAACCACTGCCCCCTGAAATTCTTAATATGATTCTTTCTGAGTGGTGGCTTAAAGAACCAATACGGTATCTTAATGTATATAGAATTGGAGTCATTTACTTCTTTTTAAATTTTCTCTGTGTGTATGTGTGTGTGTGTGTGCGTGCGTGCGCACGCATGTATGAGAGAGGGGAGGGGAGAAGGAGGGGGGAGGAAGGAAGGAAGGGAGGGAGGGAGGAAGGGAGAGAGAGAATGTGTCCTGGAGCTTGAACTCAGAGCCTGAATGCCATTCCTGAGTTTTTGTGCTACCACTTGACTCATATTTTTGGTGGTTTATTGGAGATAAAGAGTCTCACAGACTTTCCTGCCCAGGCTGACTTCAAACCAAGATCCTCAGGTCTGAGCACCTTAGTCACTAGGATTACAGTTGTGAGCCACCAGCACCTGGATAATTTGCTTTATTCTTAAAGGTGAAAAATATAGGCTAACATATAGTAAGACTTTTCTCTTTTACATTCATATAAAACAATGATTTTTTCAGAGCTAAATAGTAAAGGCATCTGCTGAGTTTTAGAAAAATACAGATGTCAGGATTCAACACTTACATATTTCCATATTAGTCTGTTAAAGTATGAGACAGGACTAGTACTTTTGAGTACTCCCAGATATTTCTATAGTTATAACCTTCTAAGCACATATCCGTTAATGATGTGCTGAACCTTTCCCCTTGTAACCTTTGCATAATTATAGTTGCTCATAGTGTTATCCCATTATCAAATGCCAGTACCAATGCTGATCCAACCAGACAAAACTTTATATCACCAGAGTTTAGGACTCCACCTCAACTTCCTAACCAGAATCTGTTTTCATGAGAACCCCTACTAGTTTAATACTCATTTCAGAACACAGATATTTGCAACTTATAATGTACTAGGCTGGGTGTGTATGATTCAAATTAATTTACTTAATCGCAACAATAATTCAGTGGGACCAAAACTTACCTCTTTTTGGAAATAAGAAAACTGAATCATAGATAACTTAGGTAACTGGCCAGTTCTTTGCTCCCCTTAGTTCTCTAAGCATTCTCTTTTTTTAACTCATAATTTTATTTTGTTATTTTTAAAATTTTATTATCTTCAAGTAGTTGTAGGCACTCTCTTTTATCTGGTCCCTGGCTGACATGAATAAATGTCATTTTTAGTCAAAAATTTGTGTGTGTGTGTGTGTGTGTGTGTGCGCACGCGCGTGCGTGCGTGCATGCATGCGCCAGTCCTGAGGCTTGAATTTAAAGTCTGGACAGTCCGCCCCTGGGCATTTTCATTCAAGGTTGTCACTCTACCATTTACATCTCACCTCTACTTCTAGTTTTTTTTGCTAGTTAATCAAAGAGTCTCATGGATTTTCCTGCCTGGACTGGCTTCTAACTGTGTTCCTCGGATCTCAGCCTCCTGATTAGCTAGCATTCTAAACATAAGCCATCATGCTTGGCCTATTACTCAAAAAGATTTTTTTTAATCAAGCTAAATTAGATCAACATTTGCAGGAAATGGAGGGAGGTTTACACATAGCTGCATAAATAAGTTGTCCTTCATTAACTTATCTCCTGACATAATGCTACACAGTAAAATAAGTAATGTACCAAGATACATATATATGGACTGACGAATTTAAAGTAAAAAAGTAAAATGAATATAAAATAAAACTTGTAAAAGGTAGCTGGGTCCCAGTGGCTCATGCCTGTAATTTTAGCTACTCAGAAGCTAGGATCTGAGGATCATGGTTCCAAGCAGCATGTGCAGGAAAATCTGTGAGTCTCTTATTTATAATGAACTACCAAAAAAGCTGGTATTGGAGCTGTGCCCCAAATGGTAGAGCACTGGCTTTGAACATAAAATTTGAGGGACAAAGCCCAGGCCCTGAGTTCAAGCCACAGAACTGGCACACAAAAAAATGAAAGGTTAAATAAACTAGCTGAATATTATGCAACAATTAAAATTTATTATAATGAAAATTTTATAATAGCATGCGAAATATTATCACATGTTAATTTTATTTTTTATTTTTTGTTTTTTTTTGGGGTCCGGTCATGGGGCCTGAACTCTGGGCCTTGGCACTGTCCCTCAGCTCTTCAGCTCAAGGCTAGCGCTCTACCACTTGAGCCACAGCGCCACTTCCAGCTTTTTTCTTTTTGCTTATGTGGTGCTGAGGAATCGAACCCAGGGCCTCAGGCATGCAAGGCAAGCACTCTACCACTGAGCCACCTTCCCAGCCCCACATGTTAATTTTAAAAGCAGGTGCAGAAATATTAATACTATTATAGAGAAACTGACACATTAAAAGCCAAACAGAAGGAAATAAAATGAAAGTAATCTCTGAGATATTTGCCCTTTTTGTTGTTTCCCCTCCCCTCAGTTCCAACTTATTTACAGAGATTTGTTGTTTTTATGATCAGGGGAAAAAATTAGTACATTTTGGTATGTGCCAGTGGTTCATGCCTATCATTCTAACTATACAAGCCAATACAGGCAAAAAAAAGTCCTTGAGACTCTCATCTCCAATTAAGCCACAAAATGTCAGACTGGAGGGATGACTCAGCAGAACAGCTGAGGCCCTGAGTTTAAACCCTGGCACCAGCCTGTTACATCAGTCGTGGAGAAATATGCCCAGGACTACAGTGGAGTGTACTGGCAGGAATGGGCATGTGAATGCAGACTTGTCAGCACTTACGGGTAAGTTTGAGAAGTGGGAGGGTATGGCTCCTAAAAACTACTGAGTCTAAGGAAGAGAAGTTGGGAAAGGTAAACATGAGTGCCATTTTTAACAGCACAATACATCATTCCTGGAGGGTATGCAAATAAAGAAACCAAGCTGTGCTTTCAAAATGTACTGTAAGCAAGTTTGGGTGCTGAAGTGAAGACTTGGATGTCCTGGATAGTGGCAAAGAAGTGGCAGCTGGGACACTAGGAATGAAAACTTTCATTCTAGAAGAGCCGACAGACTAAAAGCATATCTGAAGAAGACAACACACACATTATAGCCGGTATATGGAACGTTGCCTAGTCAAGAAAGGGAAGTAAACATTTTAGAATTAACATCTTTGGAGGCTGAAAAACAGATGTTACAGAAGTGCTGTCACATTAAGAAGAAAACTTACTAAATGCACAGTATAAAACAAAACAAAAACCTGTAATGCTAGCTACTTAGGAGGCTGATACCTGAGGGGAAGTGTTTGAAGAAAGCCTGGACAGACAAATCCAAGTGACTCCTGTCTCCAATTAATGAGCCAAAAGCTAGAAGTGAAGCTGTGGCTCTGGTAGTAGAGTGCTAGTCTTGAGTAAAAAAGCCAAGAGTGGGAGGCCCTGAATTCAGGTCCCAGTACCTACACCCCCAAAAAACTGATTGACTACACTTTTATAAGTATAAGCACAAAGTATTTTTATTATGTTATATTTTACTCCAATTTTATGCATTTTAGAGAAGAAATATGTATGCAACTAGAAATATTAAATATTTTAATATTAAAGATACTACAGTAAATTAAAATATTCATTACAGGTTTGCTATACACTTGGGATTTATCAAGATAATATAAACATGTAACAGTATATAATAAAGATAAATATTTATGTACTTAAGATATTATTTATTTGCTTAAAATACTAAATAAATTTCTACCTAGTTCCACGGGTTTTGTACTAGATGGCTTCCCACGGTATCTTGATGAAGTCTTGTATCTAGAGGAGCGTGGATTTTTCCCAGATGTTGCTGTTTTGATACATGTTGAAGATCAAGATATTTCTGATCGACTGCTTCCCTTCCAAATTGCAAAATGGAAAGCAAAACAACAGAAGAAAATAGGCAGGAGAAAACTCATCAAAGACATGAAGACAAAAATCAGGGTAGGTATCCAGTACAAAAGAACAGGAATGAATCTGTTTAGGATTTTTTTTAAGTCACAAGAAGATAGTTTTCTTTTCTTTCTTTCTTTTTTTTTTTTTTTTTGTCAGTCAAGGGTCTTGAATTCTGGGCATGGGCACTGTCCCTCAGCTTTTCGGCTCAAGGATAGAGCTCTACCACTTGAGCCACTTGCTACTTTCTGAGTGGTTTATTGGAGATAAGAGTCGAACTTTCCCACCTGGGCTAACTTTGAACTTTGATCCTCAGTTCTCAGCCTCTTGAGTAGCTAGGATTATAGGAGTATAGGCATGAGCCACGGGCACCCGGCTAGTTTTCTGATTTTAATAACACAGTAAGCATTCTGAAAACATGTTGCATTAAGTAGTAAGCATCTTTATCAAAAGAATTAAGAATAGGCTAAGCAATGGTAGCTCATGCCTGTATCCCTAACTACTCAGGGGACTGAGATTTGATGCTTGAGGTTCCAAGTCAGCCCAGGCAGGAAAAGCCATGGGACTCTTATCCCCAGTTAACCACTAAATAGCTAACATGGTGCTGTGGCTCAAGTGATAGAGTTCCAGCCATGAGCAAAAGCGCTAAAGGACAATAGCCAGGCCCGAGTTCAATCCCCAGGACCAGATGGCATGCACTCACTCACACCTGCACATAGAGAATTATTTGAGGCTTCTTAAATCAATATGTTAATGAGTTTCCAAGTCAAAGACAATGGGGTAAGGCCAGGTTTCTAACTGAGGCAGCATCCAGGGGAAGGGGCAGCCTAGACAGCATATACTCAGAGAACTTTAGGAGCCCACAGCAGGAAAACAGATCTGTGGAGCTTTTTCCTAGCCTGCTGTATCTATCCCTTCTTTTCACCTTCCTAACTGCACTCTGGCACAGAGGCCCCTGGGTGCTGAGTAGCAATCCTATAATAGTGATCTTCTTCTTGTCCTTCTTGTTTCATCCCTGGATTCTTCAGGCCATCCTTACAGCTACTTCCAGACTAATTTTCCTCACACTTTACTTGGTAACATTCAAAACCCATACCTATTCTTGTTCCAAAGCCTCTCTCTGACTATTTCCCAGCAAGAACAAATCTTAGTTGTTCTTCAGCCACCATACCACCCGACTGTCCATTCCCTGAGCTGGTAGTAGCTCAAATCATCCCCATACATGGAATGTGGCATTGTGAATTCAACCCTCTGAATTTGTTAACTTACCTTAAGAATAGGAAATACTGTCTGACTTGCTGATGTATTTTGGTCACAAACAAGAAAGAAGATGTATTGCAGTGCTCAGGACAGGATTGACATCTGGCAGACACCATAACTGAAAATCACTGACTGCTTCATTGAGTGAAAGGAGCAGAAGAACTCAAAATATTATGTACTAAGTATGAAGTGTTCAAAGAGACTAATTTGGAGAGTCCCCAGGAACCAGCCCAAACCCTGAAGGGAACTGTGTTTTCACATAACCCTTGCAACATGTCAAAGGACCCACTGCCTTAGATCTAGAAGCTGATAGAAAAACAGGAAGACTGTGTTGTTCACGATACTTATGACTGTCTCTAAAGTACATATGGTTTATGTGCACAAATGTAAAGTTTTTCCATCTAAAACAAATTTCTTTTTTAATTATCTATAAGTAGTTATACAAAAGGGTTCTCTCAACAAGCCAACCTATGTTGATCAATATCATTTCTTCCATAATTCTCCCCCATCTGTCCCAAATATCTGTCTTCTCACAAATCTATCCCAACTCCACTCATCCACTTATTCCATGTATATATGTATATTGAGTCTTATGACTGTATTTACTCACCATTCCTTTCTCCGATTGGTGATCATATGTTAACAGTAAAAGGTTTCCAAACATTTTCAATAAATTATCTTCCCATATATAAAATTGAGTGTTAAGCTGGGCACCAGTGGCTTACACCTATAATCCTAGCTATGCAGGAAGCTGAGATCTGAGGATCACAGTTGGAAACCAGCCCCTGCAGGAAAGTCCATGAAAATCCTATCTCCAACAAACTACTCAGAAAAAGCTGGAAGTGGCACTTGGCTTAAGTGGTAGAGCACTAGCCTTGAGCAAAAGAAGCTCAGGGACAGTGCCTAGGCCCAGAGTTCAAGCCCCAGGACTGGCAAGAATAAAATAAACATTAAAAAATCTAGTTATTAGGCAAAACAAGTGTATATTAAATTTTGAGAAAGAACTCTAAAATGTGTGAGAAGAGTGAGTGTACTAAGTGCCATTTAACCCTGTGGAGAGAGATAACTAATCAGTGGCCCAGAAAGACAAAGATACAAGTAACATAATTGCTGTTATCACATACTATCCACAATTCCCCAAATATTCACACAAATGTTATCTTCACTTCGGGGATAAAGGTACATATTAATATACAAAAGGTAATTTTATCATTTTCTATTAAAAATCGTACATTTTTCTTTAACAGGATGATATGATAGCCAAAAGAAGGGCCGAGCTTATTTCAGAGAGAGAGAAAAGAAGGAAACTGGAGGTAGGAGAAGAACCCAGTTTTCCATTTCTTGGTAATCTCCACCCCCAGTCCCAAAACTGCACCTATCTGGTCCTGACCATCTTTAATGTCCAGTAGCTGCGGAGCACCTTGCCCCTAATGGCTCAAATAGTTCCAGGACCTTTGATGTTCAGCAACTGCAGAAAATTAGCTTGCTTGCTTGTGAAACTGCCACCTGGGGGTGGTTTTTGCCTTTATAAACCCTGCCCCATTGGAAATCATGGCTGTTCTTAGTTCTGAGACACCATATTCCAGGACAGGGAAGTCACTGGCCAGCTAATAAGGACTCCTTTCTCACCTTTGACCGTGCCTCTGTGGATTTCTCAACTCTGAGGTTATCTCAGAAGTAAACAAAATGCTTTTTTTTTTTTTTTTTTTGCAAACAAGGGGCCCTAAACTCTGGGCCTGGGCGCTGTCCCTCAGCTCTTCAGCTCAAGGCTAGCGCTCTACCATTTGAGCCACAGCGCCACTTCCGGCTTTTATTCTTTTTGCTTATGTGGTGCTGAGGAATCGAACCCAGGGCCTCATGCATGCAAGGCATGCGCTTTACCAATGAGCCACCTTCCCAGCCCCAAAATGCTTTTTGTTTTCCCCAGCCTAGTGCCAAGTCTGGGGCCTGAACTCAGGGCCTGGGGGCTGTCCCTGAGCGTTTTTGTTCCTGGTTAATCCTCTCCCACTTGAACCACAGCTCTACTTCTTGCGTTGTAGTGGTTAATTGGAGAGTCACATGGACTTTCCTGCCCAGGCTGGCTTTGAACAAAGACACTCAGAGCTCAGCCTCCTGAGTAGCTAAAATAACAGCTGTGAGCTACTGGAGCACAGCTAAAACTGATTTTTTCTTTTCTTTTTTCTTTTGCTGTGGCTTGAACTCAGGGTCTTGAGCGTCTTGTTTTTTTTTTTTTTTTCTGAAAGCCAGTACTCTGTCTCTCCTCCACTTCCAGCTTTTTGCTTGTTAACTGAAGAATCTTTTAGACTTTTCTGCCTGGCGGAGCTTTAAACTACAACTATCAGATCTCAACCTCTTAAGTAGTTCAGATTACAGTCAAGAACCAGGCTCCAGTATGTTTTCTGATTTTATGAGGACAAGGTCTTACTACACAATCCAACTGAAGTTGGGAACTTGCCACGTAACACAGGCTAAACTGAAACATATGATTCTCCTGCCTCAACCTCCCCAGTTCTGGAATTACAGCGGTTTGATGCTGCTTCAGCTACTCATATGACTTGAACTTAAAAGAAAAACTTGCTGGTAGCTCATGCCTGTAATTCTAGCTACTCAGGAGACTGAGATCTGGGGACTGAGGTTCAAAGCCAGCCCAGTAGAAAAAAGTCCCTGTGAGACACTAATCTCCAATTAACCACTCAAAAACTAGAAGTGGCACTGTGGCTCGAAGTGGTAGAGCATTAGCCTTGAACAAAAGAGCTCAGGGACAGTGCCCAGGCCCTGAGTTCAAGCCCCACAACCAACAAAAGAAAAAGAAATACTTATATCTATCCAGACATCTTCATTTCTGGTATTATTGTTTATTCTTCTGGTATGATGGGAAGAATAAGACCATCTGAAGAACTAGCTCCTATATTGATAATTAGGGATAGTATTTAAAATTAGAGGCACTGGATTATAAAATTGACAATTAAAATATTGGACTAAAGGCATGGCTTAAGTGGTAGAGCACCAGTCAAACAAGCATGAGGCCCCGAGTACTAGCAAAACATAAAAATAAAAAGAGGACTGAGGGCTGGGAATGTGGCTCAGTGGTAGAGTGCTTGCCTTGCATGCATGAGGCCCTTGTTCAATTCCTTAGCACCATATAAGCAGAAAAATCTGGAATTGGCACTGTGGCTCAAGTGGTAGAGCACTAGCCTTGAGCTGAAGAGCTGAAGGACAGCCCTCAGGCCCAGAGTTCAGGCCCCACGACTGGCAAAAAAATAAAAATAAGAAAATAGAGAGATGATTAAATCAACAGATATTATGAAATACTTACTATACAGTGATTAAAAATAATGAAATTATATAGTAATATGGGAAAAAATAAAATATGTTGGTTTATGGCAAATAGTAGAAAACAAAATGACCGCTTTATATTTAAAATGCAGTTGTTAATACAACTTTTTACTCTTTGAACTACATTAAATGTTCCTGAAGACCACCAGAAATGTGTAACACTATGATAATTCTAGATATAAATACCATTTATTATCATGATGATTTGTTAGCTGTGTCATTTGGCACATATTTTGTATGTAGTGTAAAAAGGAGTAAGTATCTCCTTCTTTAGGCTGGCCTGAGAGAAGAAGAGGACATTAGTGAGGAAGATCTTGAAGAAGATGATGAGGATATTGAAAACACCCTTGAAGAGGAGTTTCCAAAAGATGAGGAAGAGATGAGTGAGGAAGATGAAGAACAAGAAGCCGATGCTATTGAGCGCCTGAAAAGTGAACTGGGAGAAAAATTTGAAACAGAAATGAACAGTCTGCAAATGATCCAAGTTATGGTTTTTCCTCATTTTTTTAAATAATTCAAAACATTCACATTTGAGGCTGAGCATCAGTGGTTTCTCACACATGTAATCCTAACTTCTCAGGAATCTCAGTATCACAGTTAGAAGCAAGCCCAGGCAGACAAATTCATGAGACTGTTATTTCTGATTAACACAAAAAGAAGTTAGATGCAGCTCAAGTGGTAGAGTGCCAGCCTTGAGCCAAAAGCCAGGAGTTCAAACCCTAGAATGTGCATGTGTGCACAAACACACACACACACACACACACACACACACACACACAGAGTAACACCTAAAACACACACATACAAATTTGATTTAATGCCTTATTTCCTTGTCACATCTCAAACAAAGTGCTTATTTCAGACCTTCCTTTTCTTTGTCAGTACCACTTAACAATTATGAAAACAAGCTTGTAAACCAAGAGAAGCACGGAGGCCCCCCCACAGGGCCAAAATCAGTTGAGCTGTCAAAACACAGCCACTTGCAGACTGAAAATGAGTTGTTTTCTATGCTGAAGTAAACACCAACAGTGCCTGTGCTGTGATTGAATGACATGAGTGTTTTGCCACTAAATACATTAGGTTTTATGGTTTCTTTCCATCAGGATGAATTTGAGAAGGTCTTGGTACCAATCATTACTGTTAATGGAGCTCGGAAAATCCACATTGTACAATATATATTAAACATGAGGCTGAAGCCACTGGTGGAGAACCGTATGAGCATTTTTGAGAAGTGTTATCCGATAACAGGACAGCTTGCTGAGAAGATGCTCACCTACACCTACAAGTACATAAGTTCCTTTGGCTACTGGGATCCTGTAAAGGTAATTTCAGCAAATGCATTTGAAAGCCAGGTCCTTTCCTCATCTCTTGTTAAAATTTTTTGTTAACATCTTAAACTAGCTATGAAAATACTTGAGGATTTGAAATAGAATAATTCAATTTCATCTTTGCTGTTGCTACGATGTAACTTGATGCAGATCCCCACACATACACACACAGCATTTGAATTTCTTCATATCCATAGCATTTACCCCTAGCCATGATTTCATCCCAGCTTAAGAACCATGATATTCACGGTACTACTGACCTCTTGTCGACTGTTTTGGTGTAGTTCTTGAGGACAATAAATACCATCATATTTCATCCCTACTCTGTTAAGTCCGGATGGCTAATGCTTTTCTATCTATCTGATGTGGTAAAAAGGGAATCAGCACCAATTCAAAGACGTGAGATAACTTTGCCCATTCCATTGTACACCCCTACCTTAGGCTACTTTTGGTGGGTATTTTTCCCTTTCATGACTGCTGCCAGTGGTGTTATGAGAGGGAATTCATTTATACAAAAATGTGGAAGAGAATCTACTGAACCACTCGACTACAGGAACCCACCTGTAGTCATCTGCTCAGGATGTCATAACAAAATACCACAGCCAGTAGTATTTAACCTATGGAGATTTATTTTCTCATGGTTCTGGAGGCTGGAGATTCAGATTAAGGTTCCTCTAGGCCGCTGTCCTGGGCTTGCAGTGAGCTCCCTTCTTAAAGTGTTCTTACAGGAACAACTCTTTTTTTTTGGGGGGGGGGGTAGGAGGGAGATACCAATCCTGGTGTGAACTCAGGGCCTGGGCACTGTCTCTGAGCTTTTGTGCTCAAAGCTAATGCTCAGTCACTTTGGGACACCATTTCTGGCTTTTTGGTAGTTAATTGGAAATGAGTCTCACACACCTTCCTACCAGGGCTGGCTTTGAACCACGATCCTCAGATCTTAGCCTCCTGAGTAGCTGGGATTACAGGTGTGAGCCACCAACAGCCAGCTCGTCCTCTTCTTATGAGGACACTAGTCCTACTAGGCTAGAGCCTTATCTTTGTCCTCTTTTAGCTTTAATTATCTCCTTAAAAGCATGAATGTGAAAAGGGAGACTGGAGGTGGGGACACTAGAAAGAAGGAGAGGAAAAGGACAGTAACAGGGTGACGAAGAAGATTGAAGTATATATGAAGACAGTGTACTGAAACTCACCAAACTCTATTTGGAAAGGGGAGCTGAAGGGAGGAATGTGAATATAATAGAAGGGTGAACATGTTCAACATACACTGTATGCATGTATGAAATTATCACAATATTGTTCATATATGCTATTCTAAAATAAAATAATTTTAAAGCCTTATCTCCAAATAACAGCCAATTGGGAAATTAGGGCTCTGAGCTAAATATTGTAGGGGAAAAATAAAGTCAATCTATAACAGCACTTTAGGAATGGATCTATGTATGAGGACAGATAAGCCTATAAATATATACAAGTGTCTTACAGTCCCTGGATGCAGCATTCACTAATCAAAATCTAAAGCTATGCTAAAGGGTGCAGAACTGTATTTGTTATAGCCAGAAGCCAGTTAGGAAATGTTACCCTGATTGCATCTGTATATGAAGTAATTCATACTTTTTACACATTAATATTTATAGTTTCCTTTATTATGTAAGAAAGGGTTTGTTTCTTATTTTACAATATCTTTCAAATCTATCGGAAAGAAATGGTGTATAAATTGAAAGCAACTTACCAATTCAATTGTATTGCAGCTAAGTGAAGGAGATACACTCAAACCAGTAGGAAATGCACTGAATCCAAGTTACCCTGTAATCCATCGGCAGTATATTTATTTTTTATCTAGTAAGGCAACTAAAGAAAAATTTATGAAGAATCCAATCAAATATATCCGGCAACCTAAACCAAAGGCCACTGTGCCTGTTAGGATTATGATTGTGGGGCCACCAAAATCTGGGAAAACCACAGGTGAGCATGTTTTTGTCTCTGTCTTTCTTGAACATGATACTATCTCCTGAAACCCAGCACCGCTTCGCCAGAAAATCGACTAGCAAAACTGAGATGGAAAAGCAGTCATCGTTAGATAGGCCAACAACTTGATGAAAAGCTTGTTAGTGATCTTTCCATTACTATAATGAAGTATCTGAGATAATGAACTTGTAGAAACTAGAGATGGCTAGGCACCTGTAATCCTAGCTACCCAGGAGGCTGAGATCTGAAGACTGTAGTTTGAAGCCAGCCTGGCCAATAAAGTCCATGAGATGTTTATCTTCAATAAACTATCCAAAAAGTCAGAAGTAGAGCTGTAGCTCAAGTAATAGAATGCTAGCCTTGAGCAAAAGAAGCTCAGGGACAGAACCCAGGCCTGAGTTCAAGCTCCAGGACTGGCAAAGAGAGACAGACAGACTGACAGATTTATTTTGGCTCAGTTTCAGAGGGGTATCAGTCCATGGGTCAGCTGGTCTAATTGCCCTTGGACATGTGGCTTGGCAGCAAATCATGTCAAGGAACTCATGGTGGAAGACAGCTCTTCACTTTATGACTGAGACACACACAAAAAGATAGAGAAAGAAAGAAAAGGAAAGAGAGAGAGAGAGAGAGACCAGATTCCACAATCCCCTTCAAAAGCATGGCCTAGTGATGTGAAACCTCCCACTGGCCCCTGCTCTTAAAGGCTCTACACCTTGCAGTAGCACCAAGAACTGGGACTAGGCCCTCAACACAGGAGCTTCTGAGCATCAATCCAGACCAGAACTGTAGCATAGAAAGAAAACAGTCAGAAACAAACCCAACTCCAAAATGTCCCAGGATCAGGTAGTTTTAGAGAAAACTTACATCAAACTTTCAAAGAATTAAAGCAAAAGGTAATTCTTCTTCTTCTTCTTCTTATTATTATTATTATTAATATTAGTTTCCATAGCAGGAGAAAACACAGATTCCTAGTTCATTCTTTATTTTCTTTTTTTTTACTAAGGGATATAGTCTTTACCATCAAAAAGGAATAAAGAATACAGATCCATTTTATTGTAATTATTAACATACATTATTTGTATAAATTATGGCTTTCGCTGTGACACTTCCATACATATCTATCATGCTTGAAGCATGTCAACTCTCCCTACCCCTCTTTCTTTCATCTTGATTCCTAGGCCCTCTATTCCATTCTAGAAGTTTTGAGAGAGCCTTGCTATTGATGGCACCAACCAGAGGCTAGAAGTAACAGATGAATATGTGAAATGAAAAAGTTGTTTTATGTTTTTCAGTTGCCAAAAGACTTGTAAGTGAGTATGGCTTAAAGCGTTTGTCAATTGGAGAAGCTATGCGTGGCATATTAAACAATTTCCCCCAAACAGAGCTGGCACTTATGTTAAATTGGCATCTTCATAAAGGAATGACAGCCCCCGATGAACTGGCTATTGAAGCCTTAGACATTTCCATGATGGAAAGCGTATGTAACACTGCGGGGTAAGTGAAAGGGGTGAAGGAGGGGGAAGAGGGAGGCACACCAGTCAAGAAGTTGTTCTTCTAAAGGATTTATTCAGGTTTAGGGATTTCACTCAGTGGAAGAGCACTTGCCTGGCAAGTGCAAGGCTCTGAGTCTGGTACTTAGTTCTGGATTAAAAGAAAAAACAATTAAAAGCTTCATTCTAATTCTTAAATTCTGAGCAAATGTTTTTTTTTTTTCCTTTGTCAGTTGTGGGACTTGAACTCTGGGCCTGGGCGCTGTCCCTCAGCTCTTTAGCTTAAGGCAAGTGCCCTACCACTTGAGCCACTTCTGGTTGTTAATTGGAGATAAGAGTCTTACAGACTTTCCTGCCCAGGCAAGCTTTGAACTGAGATCCTCAGACCTCAGCCTCCTGGGTAGCTAGGATTACAGGAGTGAGCCACTGGTGCCCGATTGTTTTACTTTTCTGTCAAGGAAAAAGTTGGCTTGAAAATTCACATGTCAGATAAGCCAATGGGCAACATCACTCCTTGCAGCAACCCTGAGTGGAATGAAAATTCCTAGGCCACAGAGGAGGGCACAGCAGTTCCATTCCCAGGAGCACTCCTCACTGCCCCTTAGGAGGTTGGAAAAACAGCCCTCACTTGCCCGGCTGGCTGCTCTCACTCTGGCCCAGATTTCTACCCAGGGAGCACTGTCCTTCTCTTTTTGCTACATTTGGATAACAGAGCTAAGTGCTCAGGCTTTCTTCATTTAACCCTCCACGGCCTTTGCTCCTCCAGCAGAGCCACTCGCCAAAAGCAGTAGGGAAAGCTTTCCCCAGGGAAGCCTCACACTGAGCCCTCAAGCCTAAATAAATGGCCTAGAATCCCCTGGTTTAATTAAGATTATGATAGCCAGGCACTGGTGACTCATGCCTGGAAGCCTAGCAACTCAAGAGGCTGGGATCTGGGAAATGCAGTTTGAAGGCAGCCTGGGAAGGAAAGTCCATAAGACTCTTATCTCCAATTAATCGCCAAAAAGTGCAACTGTGGCTCAAGTGGTAGAGCACTTGTCTTGGGCAAAAAAGCTCAGGGACAGTGACCAGGCCCTGAGCTCAAGTCCCATGACTGACCTGGAAAAAAAAGATGGACTGCTCTGGAAGATGGAAGACAATGAGAGAAAAGAAATCTGGAATTTTAATTTGTATGTTTCTTTTTGTTAGTGTTGTCATTGATGGGTACCCTGTAACTGCATATCAAATGAAGCTCTTAGAAGACAGGTCAATCATTCCCATGATCATCTTTGAAATGGATGTGCCTTCCAAGGAGATTTTCAAACGATTGATCTTGGATAAAAGGAGTGAGCAAAGGTAATATGCATGATTAAAACAATGACAAAAGGCTGAGCTTCATGTGTTAACAGCCTTTCTTATTCTTCTGTTTCTCTACTAGCTTACCTTACCCATTGCACAATAGTGCACAGATTATAGCTATCAAGAATGCAAAGTACAAAAAAAATATCATTGATATTAGGAAATATTACCAAGAACAGCATCAGAACTGGTATGTGATTGATGGATTTCACAATAAGTGGTGGGTATGGAATGAAGTCCTTAAGAACATTCAGACGGTGAATACATACATGCAGACATACATGGAAAGAATAAAAGAAGGTAAGGAAATATTTGAAAAAAGTAAAATAAAATGTGACTTTATCTGGCCCATATTACCACAATTCATTAAATTTGAATGTCTTGATTATCTTTATTAATATTTTAAATAATACTAACCAATTATCCCAATTATCATGGTGCTGTGACCTAAATGTTTGTGTACCCTCTACAGCTCATATGCTGAAACCTAAACTCCATGCAATAGTGTTAAAAAGTGGGATCTTCGGCTGGGAAGGTGACTCAGCAGTAGAATGCTTGCTCTGCAAGCCTGAGGCCCTGGGTTCGATTCCTCAGTACCACATAAGCAGAAAAAGCCAGAAGTGGCACTGTGGCTCAAATGGTAGAGTGCTAGCCTTGAGCTGAAGAGCTGAGGGACAGCGTCCAGGCCCAGAGTTCAGGCCCCAAGACTGACAAAAAAAAAAAATTGGGATCTTTCCTGTAATCCTAGCTATTCAGGAGACTGAGATTTGAGGTTTAAATGGTTTAAAGCCAGCTTAGGCAGGAAAGTTTATAAGACTCTTATCTCCATAGATAGAAAACAGACAGACAGATAATTATGTTAGTAGTTATATGTTAATAATTGTTATAATAATTATATGTTAATAATAGGAATAAATAATCTCCACATATATAATAATTACATGTCAATAATAGGAAAAGCTGCTTGCATCGACAAGTTATGTATCACACCTCAAGAGCTGGTTTCTCGCCTGGGAGAATTTGGACAGTACTGCCCTGTCAGCCTGGGAGAATCCAATGAGTTAATTGACTGCTCTGGAACTGACTCCTTGGAATTTGCTGCAGAATTCAGGGGGCACTACTATAAAATGAGTTCTAAGGAAAAACTAAATGTAAGCTTTCTTCTAACTCCAAATATTTACTAAGAAAACACCTTATTTTGCTTGAAAGTCATCAGATACCAAAGGTTGTCATACCTGGGAACACCCAGCAATTCCCAGGAGCCCCATTACTGCAATCTGACTCTGGTCAGTGAAAAACTCAGAAACAGTCCTGAGACTGCATCTCAGAGCACATATTGAAACATAGCAGAAGTGCCTGGTTAGTGATGAACCTTTGGAAGAGTCTCACACAAAGAGGGTGCTGAGCCTAAAGGGCTCAGCATACAGGAGGCATCCTGCAGGGATTCCGCTCCGAATTCAGGCTACAGAAAGAAAGTGAGAGCCAATCTGTTTCCCGTGCCTTAATTTTTTTCTATTACTAAAATTTCCTAGATACTTTATATACTTGTGCCTTAATATCTGTGGAAGATTGGTTCCAGGATTCCCCATCTTATGTAAAATGAAGTCCTGTTTGTATATGACCTGTGTATATCCTACCATATATTTTAAATCTTCTCTAGATTACTTATGACTGATACAATGTAAATATATTTAAGCACTGTTATACTGTATTACTTAGGGGAAAGGAAAGGAAACATCTATATATGTTCAGTTCAAGACCAGTTTTGTTTTCTAAATATTTTTATTCTATTTGCTTAAATCCAAAGATACAAAACCCACTGATACGGAGGGACAACTGTTTATCCCACAGATATAGAAAGCTAATGGTAGTCCAGTTTAATAAACTACAAATAAAGTTTTACTCTGATGTTGTGATGTCCATAATTGGATAATATACAATAGGCAGTAGTAAAAAAATGATTACAGATGCCTCAGCATTTTACTTTCTTCCAAAGAATTAGAATTTTTTTCATTTCTTTATTAAAGGGTCTATTTATGTTTTCCTTCTTACTTATTAGTAATCACAGAAACTTAAAACTAGAAAGAAGGGCCAGGCAGTAATGACTCACAACTGTAATCTTAGCCACTCAAGAGATCTGAGGATCTGAGGATCAAGGTTTGAAGCCAGCCTGGTCAGAAAATCTATTACACACACACACACACACACACACCAACAAAAACTAGCAGTGACCTTAAAGATAATGTATCTGCTCCACTCCCTCCTCTATATAAAATGGTAACTAATGATGCTGGAGAAGTTAACTCACCTGTCATTCAGTGAGTTAATGCAACCAGTTGATGATACAGCAGTCAAGAAGATGGGCAGCAGATAACTGTGCACTTTCCAGTGCCTGTCACACAGTAGAAGCTCAGCAAATCAGTTTTGAATGAATGAATGGGTGAAACAAGAAATTGCCTATTAGAGAATGTTACTGCAATATGGAGGGCAATTCTCAGATAATTTGAAAGTCAGAACACTGCTCCTAAAAAGAACCAGGAGAACTCCTGTGAAATTCTGATTAGCTGTTTTCAATGGTCTTGTTCTTGTGGCTCTTTTTTCACAGAAATTTTTGGAGAACCCAGAATTATATGTGCCTCCTCTAGCACCTCACCCACTCCTGTCTGATGACATGATCCCCAAAAGACTGACAGTATCGGAGCTGAAGAGTCGGTTCCCAAAGTGTGCAGAACTCCAGGGCTACTGTCCAGTGACCTATAAGGATGGACAACAAAGGCAAGTCCTTGCCCCTCACCTAAGTGCAGAGTGATAACCCCGCTTGGAAGGAGTGCCTCATGCCACAAGCCTAATGTGCTCATTACCTGGGGAAATGTTTCTTCCTTGAGCTGCATAGGCAGGAAAACAAAACCTTGTTGACATTTTGCTTACCTGTTTCTAAATGTTAATTCCAATAGGGTGTTTTGTTTTTGGCCATTCAGATATGAAGCCCTAGTACCTGGTAATAATGAGTATGCCGTAGAATATCGAGAGCATATATACATTTGTGAGAGTGAAGAAAAACTTCAGAAATTTTTGAGGTGAGATTATGAGATCCCAGATGTCTATAAAGTATTCTCTATATTCCATGTACCATGCTGGGAACTTAGGAAGGGGAGGAGAGTGATATATATATATAAGGATATATAGAGAGGGAGAGCATATATACTTACATATATGGTATATATAGTATATATGCTACATATACTATATATACTACATAACATGTAGTATATATGTAGTCTGTAGCATATAGTATGCATATAATATGTATATTTATATATAGTATGTATACATAGTCTTTACAGTATACTATATATGGTATATACAGTATACTATATATGGTATATACAGTATACTATATAGTATATAGTACATATACTGTATATATAGTAGTGTGTATATTATATATACTATATGCTATATGTGCACATATATGTATATATATATACATATATACATACATAAACACACACACATACAATGGTGAAGAAGGACTAGTGCTTGTCCCAAAGCCCAGGGCTTGGGGGTGCTATAGATTTACCTGACCACAAGAGAATGTGATGAGCTTCCAGGATGGGGAACTGCCTCCAGTTCTGGAAAAGTGCAGCAGGGAGGCATGACTGAATTGTCCAAATGAGGACTAGAGGGCTTAGAAGAAGGAAAGAGGGACAGATTCCAAACAGATTCCAAACAGAGGGATCTGCAGCCCTGAGGATTAGGGAACGGCAAGAAATTCAGCCTGGCTAAATGTGATATGAAGAAGATGAACAAACAAAGGTGAGACTGAAGGGGGTGAGCAGAGCTAGAGTGTGGAAGGCCAGTAATACCACCACACTGCTCTTGGACTTAACCATACAGGCAGGACAAATACACTGTCTGGTTTTAAGTTGGGTCAGCGGTAGAATCGAGTTTGCTGAGAAGGGTGATGAGAATGGATGAAGAGCAGGAATTCCATTTACAAGCTGATAGAGTAATCCTGTTGTCCACAGGAGAGTTTAGGGAGAGACTGAAACCCTGGGGAGGTAGAAGCAGAGGGGAGACACTCTTGATAGGGACAACAGACCTACAGACTTCTGAGCCGTCAGGCCAGACAAGGACCAAGACACCTGCCAGATGAAGGTCTTAGCAGGTGGTCTTAGCAAAAGTAGTTAAGCACACTGGGGCAGGTGTGGCGCAGTAAGCCAGACAGGAAATGAAGAGCTTTCCTTTCACCAGAGATTACAGATAGGGCCAGGAGGAAGAGTAGCTGGGGGGAAATCTTGGATGTAGAACAGAAGTGGTAGGGACCCCACCAGCAGGGGTTATAAGAAGTTATCATGGTTAAATGTTTCTTTAATCTTCCTAGATTTTAAACATTCATAACTGATTCAATTTCACTACAAAAGTACCATAAGGACCAACCAAATGTCACTGGCAGAGAGACCTTGTACAGTGGCTTAGTATTGCCACTGAGGCTTTTTGAGTTTAATTGCACATAGGGGGGAGCTGTTAGTTGCTAGAAGAGATACAAGGAGGAAGAAGTACAGGTAGAATTCTTCTTGTTTAAGGGGGAAATATGGGCATGTTCAGATATAGAGGCATGAGAGGGATCCAAAGTAGGAAATGCTGAAGATCCAAGGGAGAGAGAAAGAGAAAGTGCTATGGTAGAACCACTGGAGAGAGGGTGCCATGGGGACCCAAAGTATGATCAAGCACAGTTCCATCCACTGGTCCTATAGCTAGAAAGCAATACTCAGAGAGTTTGAATTTCAAGGAGAATAAAGAAAGATTTAGGAGGCTGGGATTGTGGTTTAGTGGTGGAGTGCTTCCTAACATACATGAGGCCCTGGGTTCAATTCCTCCATATCACATAAATAAATTTTTTTTAAAAAAAGATTTAACCAGTACGGTGGAGCATACTAGTAATCCCATCATTTGCAGAGACTGAGGCAGGAGGACAGCAAGTTTGAAGCTAGCCTGCGCTAGAGTGAGATCTTGGCTTTAAAAAAGCTATCCCCTCTCCCCCCAATAAGTCCTGTATAGTTGCTATAAAAAATAAGACAACAATTAAACTGCATGCTGGTGGCTCACACCTATAATCCTATCTACTCGGGACTGAGGCCTGAAGCTAGCTGGGATGGGAAAGTCTGCAAGTCTCTTATCTCCAATTAACCAGTAAAAGTCCAGAAAAGTGGAGTTGTGGCTCAAGTAGTAAAGAGATAGTCTTGAAAAAGCTAAGGGACAGTGCTCAGACCCCCAAGTTCAAGCCCTAGTACACACATACATACACACAGAGAAAAAGAGAGAGAGGGAGAGAGAGACAGAGAGACAGAGACAGAGAAAAAAGAGAGAGAGAGAGCAATAATAGATAAGTAGGGATTGGCGGAAGGGTGGCTATGAACTTCTAGGAGCTCCAGTCTTCCTTCTCACATATATAATTTTCTCCAATGATGAGAAACAAGTAGTGAGCTTTATTGTCTGTATATTGTCTATGTATATTCCCATTCCTATGCATGCAGAATGAGTATATATGTGAGCATTCAGCTAATAAATTTTGTGTTCTTAGGTCACCAATGAACTACTGGGATCAGAAGCTTCCACAGAAACTTCCTCCATTAAAGGAACCCATATCCCTTACTAGTCTTCCTTTGCCTGGATATCTGGAACAGGTTTAATTTGCATGATTTTCTGTAACACACATTATAAGAATATGTTGTATCTTTAAAGTAGTTTTTATTTTGATAGTGGCGAAGTTCAAGGCTGAATTTTAAGCTGTATGTCCACTCTTCACCTACTTTGTTTATGGGAAGTTGTTAAAAAAATAAAATGTGAAAAGCTCCAATTTCCATAGCTAATTCCTAAATATCTGCACTAAAGCAAAGAGACAGTAGATTGCTGCAAACTTACTTATATTTGGCTTGAATATGTAATCTGGCTCCTTTTTAAAAAAAATTTAGTGTCTATAAAATTTTTCATAATTTATTTTTTATTGTGAAAATACTGTACAGAGGGGTTACAATTACATGGGCAAGATAATGAGTACATTTCTTATCAAGCATTGTAGCCTCCTTTGTTTCCCCTTCCCATCCCTTCCCATCCTCCCCCCTTCACCCCCCACCAAAGTTGTAACGTTCGTTTTCGACATAATGACTTGTACATCTCATTGTTGCAATGGGTCCACCTGTATCCCTATTTAAACGATTTGTTTTTCCCCTTCCCCTCCACAAATTATACCGACATCAAATACAGTGAAAGCAGGGGTTATACTGTGGGGGAGGGAAAATTTTTTTCATAATTTAAAGCACGGAGCTCAGTCTTGGAGAGGTTCATTTACTGCTTAAGAGTTGAACTACAGAACCAGAACAGGTGGGTCACAAAACCCTTGTCCCACATACAGATAAGCTATCTACCCAAGTCACATCCCATTTATCTGAATCTACTTCTTTTTTAAAAAAAATAGTAAGCCTTAGGTCAAATCACAGTTACTTAGGAGGCAGAAATCAGGAAGAAGGTGGTGGTTCAAAGCCAGCTCAGGCAAAAAGTTAGACTTCAACTCAGTAAACAAGCCAGGCATGGAGGTTCATGCCTATGGTCCCAGCTGTGAGAAGATTGCGGTAAGAGAATAGAGGTCCTAGGACAGTCTATACAAAAAAAGGTGAGACCAACTGGGAGCATAAACTAGAGCAAAAAAGGCTGGAGTTATGGCTCAAGTGGTAGAACATGTGTGTAGCAAGTGCAAAGCCCTGAGTTAAGACTCCAGTAATACCAAAAGGAAAATTAAAGCTTATCAGTTGTCAACTCCCATTTTTGTTTATTTTTATTTTTTTATTCCATTTTAATTTTTTTATTTTTATAAAATAAATGCCTAAAGGATAATTTTATACTTTTATCACAAATTCTAACCACCTGTCCTTTTCTGCTTTCCTAGAAAGTTAGCTGTCAGTCTGGTTTAATATCAAAATGCCAGGTGGAGTGCATCAAGAAGGGAGTGTTCTCATAAATCCACATTTTGTCAGGACAGCTCCTTACCTTCTTCCTTGCTCTGAGCACTTGTCTGTAGTAGTCTGTGGATTCCTACTCAGGTTGCCAAAGATCCTTAGAGTTAGAGGCAGGCTGGCCAGTCCTGAGAATGGAAACCAAGAAGAGCCAAAACAACTCAAAGCCCAGCATCCCCTTTTATCTTTTTTGATGTTTTGTTATGGAAATGTCAGACATAAAAAAAGAGTTACATAACGAAGCCCAAGTGTTTATCCATCATCCAGCGGACACTGAGCCAATTTGCCTTTCATTTCTCCTATGTTTATGACCTGCTGGCTACATAGCCATCTAACTATTTTTCTAAGCAACATCCCCAACTCTGTTTGAGGTGAAGAAACCAAACTCAGATATATATATATATGATTTAAATTATTCTCTATCTTCAGGGTATCGCAACTTCTCTAATTAAAGCAATGAATGCAGCAGGATGCCTGAAGCCAAAGTTCCCTTTCTTAAGTATAAGGAGATCGGCACTACTCTATATAGCATTTCACCTCAAAGGTATGTATTTTTCATGCTCTGTTGCTCAGAACTGATTTCATACTGGTTGTGGTATATGTGATAAACTGGGTTGTTAACATGGGTTGCTGATTTGGTTGGAGTGTATGTGTGTGTGTGTGTGTGTGTGTGTGTGTGTGTGTGCGCCCATGCGTGCGCACGCGCGCGCAAGCATATTCATGCTCACAAAATACAAGTGATTCAAAAATATCCAAACCAGGGGCTGGGAAGGTGGCTCAGTGGCAGAGTGCTTGCCTTGCATTCATGAGGCCCTGGGTTCGATTCCTCAGCACCACATAAGCAGAAAAAGCTGGAAGTGGTGCTGTGGCTCAAGTGGTAGAGCACTAGCCTTGAGCTGAAGAGCTGAGGGACAGCGCGCAGGCCCAGAGTTCAGGCACCATGACTGGCAAAAAAAAAAAAATATATATATATATATCCAAACCAAGTTGCTAATGTGTTGTTGTTTGGCACTAATGGGGTATGAACTTAGGGCTTTGCATATGAGCCACACTTTAACTTCAGGTCTTCTTCAGATAGGATCTCCAGCTTTTTGCTCTAGGCCAACCTCATTATAATTCTCCTACCTCTGCCTTCTAAGTAGCTGACACTATAGGTGTGAACCAACATACTCAGCTTGTTCTTTGATTAAGGTTCTCCTTAACTTTTTGCCCAGACTAACCTGCTCCTTCCTTTCTCAACCTCTCACTAGCTGGGATTATATGTATGAGCTGTGCCTTTCTAAGTTTCTGTTTTAAAAGTATAGACTAAGGACTGGGGACATGGCAGCCCCAATTCCACAAAAATGGATGGATGGATGGATGGATGGATGGATGGATCCAGGGAATATAAAAAATAAAGTCAGCTCTCAATATTCTATGCTATGGAAAAAGATGAATACGGGCAATTTATGGTCAAATCTGCTATAGCTGGGCAGTTCAATCACACAGTCATTCTTTTTCTTTGATTTAATAACTTACTAACCTAAAAGAAACCATTCATAGTTTGGTGAAATTTGCTACAGCATTTAATCCCAAAAGTTCTGAATATATAAGAAGAAAGTATAAGAAGAAGATGGAGCAGTTTATGGAGAGATGTGAACTCATAACATACCTGGGCGCCAAGATGACCAGAAAATACAAGGAACCTCAGTTTCGAGCCATTGACTTTGATCATAAGTTACAGACCTTTCTCTCTCTAAGAAATATAGACCCAGTTAATAGCTAGTTTGCTTATATTACTACAATGTGAAGCTCAAGAACATCCAAGTGATCAAAATTGAGAGGCAGATTTGAAACATGGCCTTCAATCAAGTACATCCTCCCTCCTGGCTCAGATTCCTTAGTTGCCAGACTTCAAATAGATGCAAAGGTTTGCCAACCAGGGAAGTGCAGTAAAGATAAACTTTAAAACAATACTCATGTGTATTGTTCTTTGTCTGAACTTTGATACTTTAACAAAATAGATATTGCAATTAGAATTGCATTTAGACTACTTAAATAACTTGCTTAAAAATTTACTACTTATTTTCCCTTTTAACATTTTCAGTAGAATACTCAGCCTCTGTTAAAGAAAATTACTGATTGTTAGAAGGCTTCAAGAAATAAGATCAACATTGACATAAACAAAATGGAAATACTGGTTAGTTTTTTTTATGAATTGTTTGTAATTTTAAAAACAAAATAACATTTCCCAACAAAATAAATGATTTTGCAGTAACTAACTCGCTGTGTCCTTTCCTTTTCTAAGTATTCACAGAAGCATGTTGTCTACACTATTTTATAAATAGAAACTATCTGGAGTTTTCAAACCACAATCCTCAGACCTTAGCTTCTGGAGTAGCTAGGATTGCAGGCATTAATCTGTCACAAATGCCTGGCTGACTAAGAACTTTTTGGTCCCATTAGTTCCTCTACACTCTTTGAAGTTAAATTATCAATCTATTCAATGTCAAGTTCCATTCTTTTAACATACATAAGTAAATCTGAAAATATCACTACCCTTAAAACTATTTCTGATAGCCAGCTTTCCTTGTGTCATTTCATTCAAGATGCTTGAACTAATCTGTTAGTTTACTCTCCAAAGTATACATCTCACTTGTGGATCTGTGCAGGTTTTACTGTAATCCTGTGGCAACACAAAACAAATGGGCCAGCCAAGTCCTGGAATGTGGCAGAACTCCCCCAATTCCACTTGGTCCCCTTACAAATATGAAAAAAATCTGGAAACAATTCAGGATGAAAAGTATATGTGTGGCTTGGGATAGTTTTAATAAAAATTAGTAAAACATTCAAGAGTTGGGCTGGTAATTATACCTCCAGTTTCAAAATCATGGATGGTATAGATGACATCTTGGGAATCTGGAAGTGGAGACAAAAATACATTATATGCATGAAACATATACAATGAGAGGGAGAAAATGCTGAAATAAATAGTTGGAAGTGGGAGATTAATTTGAGTAAAGCTTGTAGATCAAAATAAGCTTAAAATTTAACCAGTGGGTACATGGAGCCACATCAGATTGTAAGCAGAGGAGTGACTCTAATCTTTTCTCCTAATTTGTACTTGGAAAGTCCTCATATACTCCAGTGTCTTGGGGCAACAACATTGAAGGCCAGGCAACTTAGAAATCCTCAACTGTCTATTGTAGACTGATGCTGAAAGTCGAAGTAGTAATAATAGTGCTCATTTTAGTCTCAGCAACCATTCCAGGTGCTCCCTAAACCCATTACATAGTTGATCTTGTTTATCCCACTACAATTCCACCAAGTTGGCATCATTTTGCAGGTGAGGAAAATGAAATCTCTCAGAACCAAATCTCTCAAAACTCTGGTCTGTTGTACCAGAACCAAATCTCTCAAAACTCTGGTCTGTTGTAGCAGAGTACTCTCTTCATCCCCTTAGACTAAGGCATTGGAAGGAGGCAGGTGTAAAAAACAGGAGGTAAAATATATCCTAGAAGATGAAGAGATTTCATTGGGTAACAATGCCTTTAAGACTTTAGCATATGTATTGATATATTAAAGAGAGAAGCAAATGTAAAAAATACATAAATACAAAAATGGTAAAGGCAAAGCATGAATACCAGAAAAAGGATAACTATAAAACATGATCAATATAACAACATGATATACAAAAAAGATAAATACACAATCATGAGTGCCACAAAAGTCGTAAATACAAAAAAAATACAAAAGACATGATAAATTTTTTAAATATTTTTTAAAAAGAGGAAGGAAGGGCTAGGAATGTGGCCTAGTGGTGGAGTGCTTGCCTAGCATACATAAAACCTTGGGTTCAATTCCTCAGTATAGAAAAACCCAGAAGTGGCACTGTGGCTCAAGTGGTAGAGCACTAGCCTTGAGAGCAGAGAGGCTCAGGGACAGTGCCCAGGCCCTGCCTTCAAGCCCCAGGACATAGAGAAAGGAGAGAGAGGAGAGACAGGAGCAGGGAAGAGAAAGAGGGGAGGGGGGGAGAGTAAGTAGAGGTGACTTCATGGATTCCCAATTCATTCAAAACCATATATATATATATATATGGAGGAAGGAGTAGCTGGGGGCCAGAGGCTCACATCTATAATCCTAGCTAATCCTAGCTACTCAGAAGACTGAGATCTGAGAAGAGTGGCTCTAAACCAAGAAAGTCTATGAGATACTTATGTCCAATTAACCGCCAAATAAAAAGGACGGAGTAGAGCTGTGGCCCAGGCCCTGAATTCAAGCCCTGGAACTGGCACACACACACACACACACACACACATACCAGGGAAGGGGGGGAAGAGAATTCCTAGGCTCACCATGATCTCGAGACCTTATGACCTTATGACCAAAGTGGGCATCTGGAAGGGAACAGAAGTGACTTGTGTATCGCCGAGGAGCTACCTAACACGACATAAAACTCCCCAAAGGCCTAACTTACATACCAGCCACACACACACCCTTCCCAGCTTCCCCGCAAAGGCCACACCCACCAGGGATCACCACGCCCACTCCCGCCTCCCCAGGCCCCGCCCCTAGCGGGGGGGGAGGGAATGCCCTCTCGGGGCACGTGGTCTCGCGTCGGCGCAGGATGCTCGGTGAGGCGCGCTTCCGGCTCAGTTTTGACTGTGGTGCCGCTGGGGGCGGAAGTTGCGGGATCGTCTGGGGCAGCGGGGCGGAGCGGGATTGGGGGCGCCGCCAGCCGGCCGGGTGGGCTGGCCGCGACCCAGGCCCACCGGGAGCCCCGAGAGGTAGGTGCGCGCGTGCCCGCGCCCGTGGGCTCGGGGCCCGCGGCCTCTCCCTCCCCGCTGTTCTCGGCGGCGCTCCGGGGACCGGAGGAAGGGGCGGAGGGCGCGAGTTGTCTCGGGTCAGGAGATCACCGCTCCCGGGGCTCCACGGACGCTGTCAGGAGCAGGCCGGGCCCTCCGGCGCAGCCCTGCAGCAAGGCCCCATGCTGCTTTCCCTCACGCTCTTCACCATTTTCCTGTGTGTTCCTACGAGTGAAATAGCCAGTAATACCCACGTTCAAGGGCCCCGTAGCCCCACTGTAGTGCGGGAAGGACTTCATAAAATGGTTAATCCTGTTCCTTAAGGAATTTCCCGAGGAGGAGACAGACTCTGGTGAGAGGTTTCCACGCATATTGGAAATTCACCCAACCAGGTTAATCTTAGACAGGAATTAGAACCCAAGGCCAAGTGTCTAAGTCAACTGCAAAGTGGGTAATGGTAAAAATTCAATTAGCTACGTGAAGTGAGTTGTCAGAATTTTGTGGCTGGGATTAACTTTGTTAGACAATACTTCCTCCTTTATTAAACATTGTTTTCTTATTTCAGATTTAAGCCTCCTTGGCTCCTGAAGAAAAAAATGGCAGAAACATCAGCAGAACCTTCTGGGCAGCTTGTTGTACACTCAGACACTCACAGTGACACTGTCCTGGCCAGTTTTGAGGATCAGAGGAAGAAAGGCTTTCTTTGTGACATTACTTTAATCGTGGAGAATGTGCATTTCCGGGCCCACAAAGCCTTACTTGCTGCCAGTAGTGAATATTTCTCAATGATGTTTGCAGAAGAGGGAGAGATTGGTCAGTCCATATATATGCTGGAAGGCATGGTTGCAGACACTTTTAGTCTCCTGCTGGAATTTATCTACACTGGTTATCTCCATGCCAGTGAGAAAAGTACAGAACAAATCCTGGCTACTGCTCAGTTCTTAAAAGTCTATGACTTGGTCAAGGCTTACGCAGACTTCCAGAATAATCATAGCGCCCCAAAGCCATCAACTTTGAACAGAGCTGGTACTCCAGTAGTTGTTATTTCTAATAAGAAAAATGACCCTCCAAAGCGGAAACGGGGAAGACCAAGAAAGGTCAGTAGTTTACAGGAGGGAAAATCAGAGCCGGCCGTAGAGGAAGAAATTCAGCTGAGAGTGAATAATTCCGTTCAAAATAGACAAAACTTTGTGGCTAAAGAAGGAGGCAGTGTTGTACTGAATGAGCAAATTGCAGCAAAAGAAAAGGAAGAATCTGAGCCTGTTTGTGAGCCAGGAAGAGTGGAGGAGGTGCCTGCTGAGAAAGATGAGAATCGTGACCCCAAGAACCAGGATGGGCAGGACAGCCAGAGTCGGTACAGCAAACGGAGGACTCGGAGATCTGTCAAACTGAAAGATTATAAACTTGTTGGGGATGAAGATGACCAGGGTTCAGCCAAGAGGATGTGTGGAAAGAGAAAGCGCCCCAGTGGTCCTGAGGCGCGATGTAAAGATTGTGGTAAAGTCTTTAAGTACAATCACTTTTTAGCAATCCACCAAAGGAGTCATACAGGTAATTATACTTTTGAAGCTTAGTGCAATACGTTTGGGAATTTGGCATAGTCATAGTAACAGCGTTTAATTATCATGCAACTTCTGTATGATGGACATTGTAATTGAGCATTTGTACATGTTATTGCATTAAATCCTCACAGTAATCCTGCAGGATAGATAATATTACCACCTCCATTGTGCAGATGAAAAGAGCTTAACTTGCCCAAATTCTGCTATTTCATGACTGCTGGGATTTAAACTCAATTAACCTGATTCCAGAACCCCCTCTTATTTAGAATTGTTGGTCAGGGTTTCATCTTGTCCACTTAGTGAGCTCAAGTCCAATTTACTCTGCTTTATAATCCATGAATATTCTCTATCTTGAACATCATATTGTTTTGCCTGACTCTCTGTGGATAACATGGATAGCAATACATAATTTCATCATTTTGGTCTCTGACCCAGTGCTGGCCTATATATCCTTTTGTGGTGATGGAAATAATCTCTGCTGTGTCCTATATAGCCATTACCTCAAAGGAATTTTGAGCACTTAACTTCTGGCTGGTGTGACTAAGTTGAATATTTATTTATTTTAACTTTAAACATAACCACATGTGGCTGATGGCTCTCTAGTTGGACAGTTCACTAGTAGCCAGATATCCTCTCCTCCCTTGAGCCTTTTCTTAGACTGAGCTTAACTTGGCTCTGCTTTGGGTCAAGTTATAGTTACCACTTATAAATCCTTTAATGTAAATTTAAGTGGTTTGTAGTTATGTCTTCTGTCATTTAGCAGCTCACTGTCCTGTGGCCCATTACACAATGGAAATCTGTATGCTGTGTTTCTCGACATACATATTAGAAGCACCTATAGAGTGTCTAAAGCTATTCCAAGTTTTTGGATTTGGCTGGAATCTTGATATTTATTTTTAAACTTTTTATTATTATAAAGGTGATGTACAGAGGTGGGGTTACAATTATATAGATCACATAAACAGAACCTTTTTTTTTGGACAATGTCACCCCATCCCTTAGTCTCTCCCAGCTGATTTTGTTGTTGGTGGTGATTGTGGGGCTTGAACTCAGGGCCTTGGCACTGTCTCTGAGCCTGTTTGTGCTTTACCACCTGAGCCACAGGGCCACTTCTAGTTTTTGAGTGGTTAATTGGAAATAAGTGTCTCATGGGGACTTTTCTCCCTGGGCTGGCTTCAAACCATGGTCCTCAGCCTCCTAAGTAGCTGGGATTATAGGCATGAGCCACAGTGCCCAGCCTTTCCCCCAGTTTTTACTTCCCATCCCCACCCACAGTTGTATCGCTTTTTCAACATAGTGTCTAGTGAGTTTATTTAAACAGATCCTCGGAGTGTTCACATTCATATAGTCCAAACCAGAATTCTGGTGCCCATCAGTCATCCTAGCACTTAGAACCGAGGCAGCATTGTGAGTTTGAGGCAACCTTGGGATATATATATATGAAAAAAAACTGGATTGAACCTGGTACTTTGAACAAAGAAGATTCTCAAGAACTATTTTTTGAACTATTTTGTCCTGTTATTTTTGTAATAGATTTGATTTTGTATTTTATTTTGTACTATATTTTTTCAAAGGCATGTACATAAAGAGTTCATTTGCTCTTCAACACTTGTTAAGGGACAAACAGCACATAGAATCTTCCCTTTTTGCAACCCCTGGATTCTGAAATTTTGCATTCACATGGGTCTATTTTCATTCATTTGATAGATACCAGATAAGCCATACAGGTTGGAAACTCCTGTCTTCAGTCCAAAAAACATTTCTTGAATTATTTTGTAGGTGATTTCCTCCCTTTTATTTTCTGTTCTCTCTTACCAGCTCCTGCTGTTGAACTGTTGAACCTTCCTGAACCAGTCTCTAACTTACTTATCTTATTACCCATCTTTCCATCACTATTTGCTATACTTGCTGTGAAATTTCTATTGATTTTTTACTTCTAGGAACTCATTTTATAAATTTTTTGGAAGGGTGGGGGTTGAGACAGTCTCAGTGCGTTGCTCTGGCTGGCTCACACTCGCTGTATAATCCAGGCTGGCCTTAAACTTCTTATGTAGTTCTGTCTCAGTCTCCAAGTGCTAGAATTACAGGTGTGTGCTAACAAGTCCAGCGGTGTTCTCTAAATTTTCTAGAATTCGAGGGCTAGGAAGGTCGCTCAGTGGTAGAGTGCTTGCCTTGCATGCATGAGGCCCTGGGTTCAATTCCTCAGCACCACATAAGCAGAAAAAGCCAGAAGTGGTACTGTGGCTCATTTGGTAGAGCACTAGCCTTGAGCCTTGAGCTGAGGAACAGTGCCCAGGCCCAGAGTTCAGGCCCCACGACCGACAAAAAACAATTCTAGAATTCGAATCTTACTTTTACTTCATAAGGTATATTCTGTGAGAATAGTACTGATAAAGTTTATTACTTTTTTTTGTGGGTCATGGGGCTTGAACTCCGCTTAGGTGCTGTCCCGGAACTCTTCAGCTCAAGGCAAGTGCTCTACCACTTGAGCCACAGTGCCACTTGCAGTTTTCTGGTGTTTAATTGGAGATAAGAGTCTCCCTGACTTTCCTGCCCTGGCTGGCTTTGAACCACAATCCTGAGATCTCAGCCTCCTGAGTAGCTAGGATTACTGGCATGGGCCACTGGCACCCAGCTAAATTTATTACTTTTTAACCTTTTCTTCAACTTGCAGTCTGTTTTCTATGCACTGTTTTTCTTTTGTTTATCTTAACACTTAATATTTCTACTACTAAAAGCATTCCTTGAATATTGGTTTGTTTGTTTCTCTGTTTCTGGTACTGGGGCTTGACCTCATAACCTCCTACTCTTATGGAGGTTGTTGGCTTATAGGTGGTGCTCTACCACTTGAGCCATGCCACCAGTTCTATCTTTTTAAGAGTCTTGAGGATCTGCCTGGGCTAGCTCTGAGCCATGATTTTCAGATTTTAACCTCCTGAGTACCTAGCATTATAGGATTGAGACACGGGTGCCCAGTGAATTCTGATGATTTTTAAAAATCATATTTAGGCTGGGAAGGTGGCTCAGTGGTAGAGCGCTTGCCTTGAATGCATGAGGCCCTGGGTTTGATTCCTCAGCACCACATAAGCAAAAAAAAAAAGCCGGAAGTGGCGCTGTGGCTCAAGTAGTAGAGCACTAGCCTTGAGCTGAAGAGCTGAGGGACAGCGCCCAGGCCCAGAGTTCAGGCCCCACGACCGGTCCCAAAAAAAAATAAAAATCATATTTAATCATGTGTAAGAATGAGTTACTAAAAGCTACACATTGCCCTTATTTGTCTTGATATCTGCCTCTACTACTAAAATGTTGGTAATATTTTTACAATTATATTTATATTATATAAGAATAATTTAAAGCTACTGGTAGCAAGTATAAAGAGAGCCTGTAAAACACTGACTTATTGGAGGTGTTGTGGTTGGACCCGTGGACATCTATGGCTCTTCTCCCTTCAAAGAATGTGTATTTCTATTCCTCTACCTGGAGGTACTAGGCTTGGCTGCCAGTTTCTGAGTAGAAAATGGGGTCTCACTTCACAGGGAGAGCTTGTAGCCCTGTGGTGGTCCCACAACGCCTAATCCAGAAACCCTCTTTTTCTTTTTTACCTTCTTCTGAGAACAATTTCCATCTTCTCTTGGGAGAGAAGCATCTCCTGGCTGTGAAATGGTTTGAGTCTGTGGTCTACCTAACTTTGAAATAGGCTGCCTTTCCCCTTCCCTCACCCCGTTTTCAGAGATTGCAGGTGCTACCAATTCTTGACCTTTTTATAGACACAGTCTTAAGAATCAGCTCATTTCTCCTCACTGCTGGCTTTGGATTCATCTGTACCATCTTCCAGACTTTCATTACTGACATTATCTGTCCTGTTCATTGGACTTTGCATGTGTGCTTTTTAGGAGAAACTCAAATATTCTGATTTTAGTTAATCATTTACTATTGTATATGTTAATAGGGTGGAAACAAATATACATATTGTTGCTTATACCATGCTTCTGGGGTTCTGATTCCAGGAGAGCGACCCTTCAAATGTAATGAGTGTGGAAAAGGCTTTGCTCAGAAGCACTCCCTGCAGGTCCACACCAGGATGCATACAGGCGAGCGGCCATACACCTGCACTGTGTGCAACAAGGCTCTGACCACCAAGCATTCACTACTGGAGCACATGAGCCTGCACTCAGGTAGCGGGGTTGTACCAGAGGGCTACCTGCCACTAGATTCCTGTTCCTTGGGGTGGACGCTTTCAGTATCTAAATGGTGTTTTCTCAGCTTGATATCATTTCCCACATGGTGTCACTGGAAGACAGTACTATGCAGAGTGCAGTCAGTGCAGTTCTGACCTCTGCACAGCACTGAGCCTTCAACTAGAAGGCTGCTACTAACTGGCTGCTGGGAGTTCAGTGCGCAAACACATTTTGCTTAATAAGAAGAGCTTAGAATAGTCTTACTATGAATTCCTCTTGGGAGCACATGACTGTCCCTTTTCTACCCAGTCTCTGCCAGTCTGTATTACTGTTCACACCTTTGCCTATTTGTGTGTCTGTAGTGGATTCCTCAAAATTTGAGGTATGTCAACAAATCACTTATATCATTTGTAGACAAGAGTCTGGGCCCACTTTGTTATTTATCTTATTCGCCTTCTAGTTCCCTACTATTTTTGGTGTGGTTTAAGTGTTTTATTTCTTTATTTGGCAGGACAGAAGTCTTTTACCTGTGATCAGTGTGGAAAATATTTCAGCCAGAAGAGACAACTAAAGAGCCATTACCGAGTTCATACAGGTAGAATAACAATAAAGGGAGAGAAAATTTGGATTGGTGAGGAAGAAATGCAAATACATTGTTTCTAAATACATTAAGTTCATGTTGTTAGAAGATAAATATCTAGGGAAAAGAGTCCCAAAAGGCAATCAAAATTAGAAGTTGTCATATTACTGTACCCTAGCATGTAGTTTAAATTTAACCTTTGTGCCATAGTTTCAGTGCCCCACAGAACTGGTATCTTTCACAAGTGCCACCTGCCCAAGAAATGAGTCAGTTGATTTACTGCTAAAGGTGCCTGGCAGTGTCCATTGCTGTTTATACATTTGTTGACCTGGTTTACCCATTATTGTTTTCTCCTTCCAACTGATAAAACAAATGAAGGGGGAGGGAGCTGGGAGCATTATTCCAGATCAGCTGGTGGGTCACACTATGCTTGGAGCATAAAGATCCTATTTATGAGGATTAGGAGGTCCCCAGCTCTCAGGAAACCTAGAGAAATGTTAATTGTTACCAAATTAATTTTTTTAATATGTTGTTGTTAAAGTACCATATTTAAAGTGATTATTTTTCAGGGAAGTGCTTTAACACAAATCACTGAAGAAATGCAGGGAGAGCATATATACACTGACACTTTTTTTATTATTGCGACAAGGCCACTCATTACCGGAATGCAACCACTGCCATCGCAAATTCATGGATGTGTCTCAGCTAAAGAAACATCTACGAACACACACAGGTAACTCATCACCTTGTCATTCTCCTGAGTACACTTGATGTTTTCAGCAGAGTGAAGAATGAGGTTCCAAAGTCTCCTCAACCTGTACTATGGAATGTTTGTTAGAAAGTTAGTGAGAGTTCTGTAAGTGCAGATTTGAAAAGCCAAGGCAGAATCAGAATACTGTCAGCATTATTCTGTGAGTACCTCCCATCTTTTTGAAGAGTGACAAAACAAACTACTTAATGAAAGCTGTCTATAAGTAAAGATTTATCTCATCCCACAGACTAGTTTGAGCCACAATCTTAATTCTGTTTAACACAGCATTGAAAGTGATCGAGGTAAGTTGAGGAACCAGACACAAATGTAGCGTAGACACTTAGAATTCCTTGTTCTTTTCCCTGTAGCCAGCACTTAAATGATAAATGCTTCTAGGAAATCTAGCTGCAGGGAGGAACAGGAGGCAGGAATAATTAGGACATGGCAGATCTTTTTGCTTAAGATCAGAAAAAGTATAACTTTTATGCACCTTTTGTTAAAAACAAGCCTGTTAAGATTTTCTAAGAAAAGCTTTTCACTCTGGGATGATTATTTAATGATTCTTGTCTATTTAAATTGTCTGTCAAAGTGTTTTATGATACTTTGGACTTAATATTTTAATGCAGGTTGAATATCTCTAGTCCAAAATCCTAAATGTCCCTACCAAACTTTGAGTGCTATTAAGAGTCCACAGTGGAAAATTCCACACCCAAACCTCATATGATAAATCATATTCAAAATACAAGCACACTAGAAATTCTTTTTTTTTTTTGCCAGTCGTGGACCTGAACTCTGGGCCTAGGCGCTGTCCCTCAGCTCTTCAGCTCAAGACGAGCGCTCTACCACTTGAGCCACAGTGCCACTTCCGGCTTTTTTTTTCTGCTTATGTGGTGCTGAGGAATCGAACCCAGGGCCTCATGCATGCAAGGCAAGCACTCTACCACTGAGCCACCTTCCCAGCCCTGCACTAGAAATTCTGTATGCAGTTACTTTCAGGTTGTGTGTATGTGGTTTATTTATGTGAATTAAATGTGTGAATTACTTCTGCATGGACATGGATCACATCCCTTAAATTCTTAAAGTATATGCAAATAATCTAAATCTGAAAATCAGAGACACTTTTGGTCCCAAGTATTTCAAACAATGGACACTCAGGCTGTACTAGTTTTTCTTAAAGTTGGGAAATTATTTCATAGAACAAAGATGGTGTGTGGTCTTTGTATAGATATTATCATTAATAAGTTTTATGAAATTTAATTCACCCATTTTGTTTTTGTTTTTCTTTCTTTAAAGTATTATTGCTCAGGTCCTAGAACAAACTAATTCTTTGGGTAAGTGGGCAAGGTCTGAGGGAGACAGCTACATTAGTTCCACCTAATTGAGAGGGTTGTAAGGCAAAGACTCTAGAAAGAAGGTAGTGCTGGCTTCCATCTCTCATTCCCCATTTGCTCTGCTCTATTCTGCCTCTGTGTCCTCACCTTTAATTGCTGCTGTCTCTTTTTCCTATAACAAACTTCCTTCTAGTTCTACTACCACTTAGGCCCTGTATCTCACTTTTTGTCCTTCCCTTTTGTCTGTGTTACCTCCTGGTCCAATAATTAGCACCTTATATTTAGCCTTCTCTAGCAACTTTGCCTGCACCTCGCACCTTATATTTAGCCTTCTCTAGCAACTTTGCCTGCACCTCACCCTGTCTATCACTGACAAGCTTATTTTATTGTACTGTTAGCATGTAGTCATTCTGCTAGAAAAACAAAGCAAAACAAACAACAACAATGAAAAAAAAACCTAGAGTCTCCATGAGTCCTGTGCATGGAATTTACAGCTCTTTCTGGCTTGGCTTATTGGTGAGCTCTGCCCCAGCCCCTCACAGTGAGTCCTTGTCCCCCATAGTCCATACCATGTATCCATTTGCAATACAAATGTTTCAGTCATACTGTTTATATGAGTGCCCTCCATGCTTCTCCAGTCTGTCTTTTCACACACTTCTGCTATCCTGTGTGCACCCTCAGTTCAATGTTTAGGCAAACAGCCCTCTATTTGCTTCCTAAATGAACTGCAACCTCTTTTGAGGCAATCATCATCTCTTTTTCTTAGCTCTAGACTTTGTTAATGGAATATCACTGTTTCCAAATTGAATACATTTAGCAGAATGGATCACTTAATTGAAGGCAGCAGAGAGCTAAGACATATGGCCCCCATTCGTGTGTTGGAAACTGAATTGCTGATGCAACACTGTGTCAAGAGGTAGACCCTCCTGAATTGAGAAATGCCATTAGCACTAAAGTAGATTCCTGACAAAAAAGATGGGTCTAGCCCCTTCCCTTCTCTCTCATTTGCTCTTTCCCACCATTTGCCAGGAGATGACACAGCGAAAAAGTCTTCTCTAGATGCAGATGCCTTACCTTGAACTTCCCATCTTCCAGACTCAGAAATTTTAAAACAAATTTATCTACTCTCAGGCAATGTTATACCAAAACAAATTAAACTGTAATATCCACATTCACCTTGGCTAGGAAAAAGTCTTTCCTGCTACCTTTCTCAAAGAGTTTTAGCTACAGGATATTATTCCTGGGTAGACTCCCATTATTTTAGCAGTTGTCCTTAATCAGAACATTTGCAAACTTTCCTAAATATAAACCAGTTGAATTGAATGATAAATTAACATTGTTATATGTATTTCCAATATGTCTAGAATCTGACCATTTCTCACTACACCACCGAGCAAACCCAGAGTACTTGGTCTTTGAATTAGAAATCTTGGTTTTTTCCATAACGCTTTCACCATCTCATATATGTTATATTTATTACCTGCTGCTCCTTTCTTATGTACAATGACTTCTAGGTTTATCTCCTCTTAGTACTTCAGGGCCTAGAATCTGGCTTGGTACAGAGCTTCAGAAATCCTTGTTGAAAGGATGAGTTTCTCAGCAGTAGACTAAGGCTCTCAAGAAACAATGTTACTGCTCAGATTGTGTCTTGACAACAAGTGTCAATTCAGTGGTAAATCAGCTAAAGTGAGAGTAGTTCCCAGCTCAGACTTAGAAAGCAAAGAACTAGCTCTTAACCTTTGGGGTAAAGACTATGAACTTTTGGAATTCATGATATGAAGATTCAGATTCATTCAAGTTGTCACATACCGCTGTCATCTCTGCTTGGATGGAGCTTGGCATTGCGTACTTATCCCTTGCTGTTACCTAGCTAAGCAGGATTTTGCTGTTTTTCTCTCTCCCTCCCTCCCCCCCCTCTTTCTACCCACCCTTCTACTCTCTCTACCCTCTCTACTTCTCTCCCCTCCCTCCCTTTCTCCTTCCCTACTTCTCTCCCTTCCTCACTCCCTCATTTCTTTATTCAGACTTCCCTTACCTTCATTAGAATCACTTAATTAGAATCACTTAATTTTGTTTCTAGATAAACATAAACATGCTGACATATGTGTAGCATACAAATTTAACACTGAATCAGCACTTAATAATGTTAATGAGCCCATCTGAGTAGTCACTTTGATTCTTGTGAGCCTTAATCTGGTCCTGAGAAATACATTCTTTCAGCAAGGATTTCTGGAGCTGTACCAGACTATAGAGGTTCTAGGCACTGAGGAGTAGATAAACCCAGAGGTTACTGTGCACAAGAAAGGAGTGGAGGCTGGGAATGTGGTTTAGTGGTAGAGTGCTTGCCTAGCATACATAAAGTCCTGGGTTCAATTCCTCAGTACCACATAAAAAAGCCAGAAGTGGAGCTATGGCTCAAGCAATAGGGTGCCAGCCTTGAGCAAAAGAAGCTCAGGGGCAGTGCCCAGGCCCTGAGTTCCAGCCCCAGGACTGGGGGCTTGAAATGAAAAATAAAGGAGTGGTAGGTAATAAATTCAACATACAGTCTATGAGATGGTGACAGCATTGTGGAAAAGCTAAGTGGGAGAAAAGGACTAGGGAATGCTAGGGCTAGAGGCGAGAAAACCTTGCTGCTCCCTTTCTGCTCCCTTGCTGCTAGTGGACAGCCTGGAAGGAGTGGCTTAAGCTGAGCTGAGATGAACTCAAGAGATTCATCTTACAGCCAGGAGTGGGTATGGAGCAGTGGGACAGTACAGGTCTGTGACCCCTTACAGTTCAAGGGCTTTGTCTTAGAACGGGAGTGCTTGTAACTTTTGCAGTGAAGTGATATAACTACCTCAGCTTACTCTGGCTGCTTAAGTGACTGAATGTTAGAAAGCAAGTGGTCTTTTAGAAGAGTGCACATAGAAGGATGTAGATGAGAAATGATCACATTTTCCGTATATGTGGAAGGCATGTGAGTAATATATAAGTCACCTTGTGCACACAAGTCCTTTCTAAAGTCAAATGGGACATCTAACCAGGCTCTAAGTCAAGTGTGTATGGAAGTCATTGTAATATCCAAGGGCAGAAAATGCAGGAATAAATACAGTTAGGTCTTTTTGTTTCCTCTGTGTAAACACTTCCACCTTGTTTCAGTGGCAAGGACAGAACCACCCTGCTTCCTGTGTCTTGGTACTCGCAGCACCGTGCAGAGGAGCAGAGCAGCTGTTTGCTTGTGGTTCAGTGGTTCTCACTGATGCAGAGCTTGCCTTTGTTCTCTTTTCTTTTTGTGAAACAATATAGTCTAGGTATTTGGGGGAAGGAGGTTGTTTTATATTTTCCTAAATGTTGAATGTGTATCTTTAAAGGTTTTCTCTTTTGTTTTTCAGGTGAGAAGCCATTTACCTGTGAAATTTGTGGCAAATCTTTTACAGCAAAGAGTTCTCTTCAGACCCACATCAGAATTCATCGGTAAAGTTTTGCAAGTACTTTCTTCATGTGGAGACTTCATTCAGCTCTGGTGTTCAATGGGGGTGACTTAGGTTACTCATGTAAAATCTTTTCTCCAAATTGTGACTCTGGAAGAATATTCTATATAGTTTATTATCTTCTCAATAATGAAATTTCTTATTAGGCAAAATCAGTAGTACTGCTTCTAACCAGTAAAAATTTGCATTGTTGATTTCATTATTGATTTTTGCTTTGGTTTGAGAACAAGCCTAAAACTTAAATCCTCCATTTAAAAAAAAACAAAAAAACATTAAATTTTATATTTTTTGACCTGGGTGTGGTTGGGCATAGTGGTAATGCTGGCATTCAAGAGGCTAAAGCAAGAAGAACAAGAGTTTGAAGCCAGACTTGGCTACATAGCAATGTAGCATATCTCAATAAAAGATAATAATACTTAATAATAGTAAAAAATAATAATGTTAATATTTTCTGAAAAAAAATTCACAAAAATCCCAAGTTGGACATAGATGTATCTAATAGCTTCACAAATAATTTAGAACTGATTAAGTTTTTGATATTGATATTAAACACATATACCTAGTTGGTCATTGCAGTCTTAAAAACTGAATGTAAGAACCAACAAAAAAAAGAACTATTTATGTAGTGTGTATGTAAATATTTGCTCTTATCCAAAATGAATACTATAGAATCAAAATTTTATCACACCCAACCCTGCCCACCCCTTTTTCAGTTTTTTTTTAAATTTTTAACCCTTTTTTAAAATTGCTAATATTAGAGACAAGTGCATTGAAGTGTGACTTCCTCCTTTAGTAGGAGAATTCATGACTTGCAACTCAGCTCAGTTTTCCTTTATTCTTCCTGCAATAAACAAAGTAATAAATATTTTTGTTTTAAAATAAAATACGTTTTCTTGTAGAGGAGAAAAGCCATACTCCTGCAGCATATGTGGCAAGTCCTTCTCTGACTCCAGTGCCAAGAGGAGACACTGCATCCTTCATACAGGCAAAAAGCCTTTCTCCTGTCCTGAGTGTAGCTTACAGTTTGCTCGCCTAGACAATTTGAAGGCTCACTTGAAAATTCACAGCAAAGAGAAACAAGCATCAGATTCTAGCAGTGTTTCTGGCAGTGGTAATGCTGAAGAGGTCAGGAATCTTCTTCAGCTACAGCCATATCAGCTCTCTGCCTCAGGAGAACAGGAGATTCAGCTTCTCGTAACTGATTCTGTGCATAACATCAATTTCATGCCTGGTCCTAGCCAGGGAATCAGCATCGTGGCTGCTGAGAGTTCCCAGAATATGACCGCTGACCAGGCTGCTAATCTCACCCTGCTCACACAGCAACCAGAGCAACTGCAGAGTTTAATTCTTTCAGCTCAGCCGGAGCAAACAGAACACATTCAGAGCCTCAGTATGATTGAAAGCCAGATGGAGCCCTCACAGACAGAACCAGTACATGTGATTACACTGTCTAAAGAAACCTTGGAGCATCTTCACGCCCACCAAGAGCAAACAGAGGAGCTCCGCCTAGCAGCAAGTGCTACAGATCCTGCACAACACCTACAGCTGACACAGGAGCCTGACCCGCTCCCCACTCACCACGTGGCCCAGCCTACACCACTTGGCCAGGAGCAGAGCTGACCTGGGAACATGTCTGACTGCTGCACTGGGTCCTTCCAAACCAGCTATACATCAGGCTCTCTCTAACAAAGATGTAATATCCAGAGATATTTATAATATACTGCTTTGGGGCAGTAAAGTATGTGTATGTGTGGTATGTGTATATGCATGTGTGTGTGCGTGTATGCACACATGAATGTACATGTGTGGTACATAAGTGTGTAGAGAGAGAAACATGTCTTGCCTCTAGGTTTGGATTTAGCATTTCAATACTAATGAATGCTTTTCATTTTTGTCTTCTGTATCTCTTAAGACTGGGATAACTTTTCTTTGAGGACATTGATTTGGACTTTTAAGTATTGAATTTTCACAGCCATAAGTTATAGTCTGTTGACCTTTTCAGGTATGTCTTTAGAACAAAGGAAGACAAATATGTTGAATTAGATACCATGGTTGATTTCAGTTTTAGGCAACCCTATTGCCTGTCCAAGACAAATTAGGGCTTACTGTCACAGACAATAACATTTAATTTGTCCTTTTAGAACTTCCACTCCCCTAAAAGAATACTTCATGGCCCTTAATCTTTGTTATATACAGGGGCTAATCAGGTCATGCTTAAAGTAGATTCAAACTCATATCAACTATATTTGTAACTCAAGATTTATTCAACAGGAAAGCCAAAAATTACTTTCATAAGTTCTGAAGTCAACTTTCCTACAAAACTTGGATTTTATATATGTGTTTTAAAGGCAGATTGTGGAGATTTTTTTAAGTCTATGTAATTTGGAAGTGTAGAGGAGAGATGGGGCTTGGGAGGAACTGATGGCCACACTGAGGTCCTGTCACTAGGGAATGGATGATGAAGGTTAGCACAGATGGTTTTTGCATGGCTGATGTTGAGCCAGGAAGATGGAAGTCACCATGATGCACTTTGTAGGAAGATGTTCCGTTTGTCGCAGTTTTGTCACTATTTGAGGATAGTCCATGGGTTTGACCTGAGGTGAGTGTACAGGAGGCAGAAGGTGTTGTAGTCCTTATATAGATGACACAAACTGCACTACCACTACATGAGGCACAGAATCCTGTGGAGGTACTAGATCTTCTGCAGCTGGTGGAGCAGCTGATTTCAATACCACATCTGCTTCCATCACAGACATATCCTCTGCCTTGATCTCAAGAGCAGGTGCTGTATGCAGCCCCAGATCTAAGGATGGAAATAGATGCATTGTTAATGGAGGGGCTGTAACAGTTGAGGTGGGACTGACCCTTCTGAGAGTCTCCAACAGAGTAGATACTGGCTGATAGACTAACCATGGCAGGACATCTTCCTACACTGGGTTTACTAGTGGTTACAGGCCAATGACCAGCCTGGGATTCTCATTCCATGGGAGCTAGTTTCCAGCCCTTCTCACATGTTCTCAGGCACCACCTACCTAAGGACTCCTCCTTTCTCTTTTTGTCTGCCTCTTTGGTCTCCAGCTCAGTGAGGAGAAGGTGTACACGGACTGCCAGTTCTGAGGAGGGCATGTTGAGCAGCACATAGGCCATCAGCTTATTCAGGTTGGACAGATTGTTGATCTGGCAGAAATCTTCAGGGTACTTGTCCAGCCACATTGCAAGCAAGGAACACATGGTGCTGTGTGCAGGTGGATAGTAAGTAGAATAAGAGCCTGCTCTCTTCTTATCAAGCACCTCCACAGCCCTTATTGGGAAGTTTCCCATGCAGAGACTGCCCATCTCACGCACAGACTTGCATGTTGGGAAGAGGGAGGAGACCCGTGTGAGAAGGCTCTATGGCTCCCCCATGGTATGGACCAGATAATATACAATTGTTTTTCCATGGGTCTTTCAGCCTACAGTCTCCTCTGCTTCCTGGGGGTCCAGAACCCCACCCACAGCTATGTTTCCAAGCCTTTAGAGGAGGCCTCAGGCCCCATCACAAGTGATGTGCTTGCTGGAGTTTCCCACCTTTCAATATATTTAACTGTAATATTCAGCCACTCTTTAAGGAGAGCCCTTCCCTTCATCTCAAATTCTACTCACTTCTTCACTTGTTCATCCTCCTCACAGTCAGGTTGGAAATAGGCATACCTACCAGAAGAGAAGAGGAAGTAATCTTCTTTTATTTATTTTTTTGCCAGACCTGGGGCTTGAACTTAGGGCCTCTGCTCTGTCTCTTAGCTTTTTTGCTCAAGGCTAGCGCCCTACCACTTGAACCACAGCGCCACTTCCGGCTTTTTCCATTTATGTGGTACTGAGGAATTAACAGAGTTTCTTGCATGCTAGGCAAGCTCTACCACTAAGCCACATTCCCAGCCTGGAAGTCATCTCTTTAATGTCCTGTTTTGCTTACCAGCTGTTTCTCTATCCAGGTAGGCTGGCTAAATCCTGGTTGGGAATAAATTTTGGAAGGTTGGGAGATTTGCCTGCATAATTCTCTGAATTTTACACTAAGGGACTTGGAATGTGCCACCCAAATAAATGTTTCATATGTTTCTGCAGTGAGAGCCCATATGATCCTTCCTTACAGCTCAGTAGACATAGGGCCCTCAGGCCACCTACTCTGTTGCCCTTTCTCTGGCTGCAGTTCAGTGGCCTCCTAGATTGGTTTGGGAACTGTGCTTACTGATGGCAAATGTGGTACCATCGGACTTCACATAAATGAGACCTTAGAAAGAATTCTGTTTCAAGGGAAGTAGAATATCCCCTACAGGAGACCCACAGTCCTGGGCACCCCACTTCAGAGGAACAAATTTGGGACAGCACTTCTTGGTCTCATCCCACTTTGGGTTCAGAAGATGCCATTGAAACAAACAGTATAGTTACTTTTGTGCTTAGCAGGAGGGTGGCAACATCCCCTGGGTTTGGAGATGAGTTACTCACCTTTGAAACAGAAGCTCCAACACTTGTCCTGTTGTTGTAAACCTTCTGTAAGTAAACAGGAAGGCAGGGACGAAGAAGGGATCCTTCTGGTAGAGAGGTATCAGGAGGCTTACCATCTTCTCTAGCATGTCTGGCTCCACAGTACTCACCCTACGGAGCCCTTCCTGGGTTGGGATGGACTCAGTTTCATCCTGAAGTGGAACAAAGAGGAAGTTCAAAGATAGAAATGGTAGCACACTTCAGATTGACTCATTGTGATTAAGTCAAGTGAAAACCTCAGAATTACCATTAACATTCACAAGAAAACCTACAAACTCAGGAGGGTCTAATGTTGGCTGGGTTGGCGCAGATAAGTTACCTGGGCTGAATATACTTGCTCTGGACTCCCATTTGTTTCATTTGGATTCCTATTGAAAAATGGCCCGAGGCGCTGGAGTCCAGGGTGAGCACTGATCCAGCGACGCCAGGCTCCAATGAGGCAGTCACACCAGGGTTTCCTGGGCATACAGCAGGAGAACATCCTTCTGTCTTCAAGTTTGCTCTCTAAGTGAGCCGGCTGCTGTTGACTCTGGAATGTTGTTGCCTGGCTACCAGGATTCCATGGGGTTTGCCCCATCCTTAAAGAAAGGGAGTCACTTCCCCAGTTCCCCTTATCCGAGCCCTTTCCTCACACAAGACCTCCCCAGTGGACTCATTGGCTACCAAGACCCCCACTATCTCATCACCATGTGTACATATTATAGTTAACACTCCTTGTCCAGTCTCACCATCCTGTCAGGCCTGGCTATAGGTAGGGTTTCAGTTAAAGGCAGACAGCCCTTTCTGTGCTCCTTGACAAGTCATTTTGAGTCTCATGGTCCCCTTGTCACCCAATCTAGTTCCTGGCCTTTATTCTAATATGTGTCTCAGTATTATTAGGTGCCTGGGTCCTTAAACACCTGTTTGATGTGTTGTTAGAAATGGCTGGGGATGTTGGGATGTTAGTAGAAATAAGGACACCAACTCCAAAGGAACTCGGCAAGGCAAAGTTTACTTCTACAGAAGGGTGCGCCATCATCTAAAAATCTACAAGCAAACAGCAGGCAGGCTGCTCCCTTTTTATCCCTAATCCAGCAGGCTTTACCTCTGCCTTGAACCTGGCTGAGGTCAGGTTCTCAATCTGTAAAAGGATGTGGTTTAATTAAGAACATGAAACTAAAAGTTAAGGAGCTTATAACAGAATATGTTAATGATAGTGCAGAAAGGAAAAGAATGTAACTAAAATGTAATCAACAAGGGCCAAGACACCTGGCCAAAGCAGGAACTTTTTAGAAAAATAATTCTTAGGTGACAGAAGCAAACTACTTTGATTGGAAAGATACTTACCTAACACAAGCCCATTGGCTGGTGTCAAGCATAGCTAATTTAAAAACTTAAAGATGGGAAAAATCAAAGGAAGTGGTTGAAAACACAATATCCTTAGATCAGACTTATAAACAGATGCAGACACATACTTTGACATGTGTCCAAAATGAATCAATACAAGTTAAAGTTGACTTTTTAGCTATATCCACATGATCATGTGATTTAATTCAATATCACATAATTGAGTTCACTTGTTTTGACATACATAATGTATATCCAAAATATGAGACGAATAGCTCTTTTTCAATTCAGTTTTATGATGTAAAAATACATTGTACACTATGTGAAGAACATTGGATGAAGAAAGTGTTTTGTGCTGACAGTTGACCATTAGCTTCATTTAGTATTTTGACATACTGGCTTCTTGTGCATATCATCAAAGACACCAACACAGAGTTTTCTAGCAAGATAAACATTTCTATCTTGAGTGACATAAATGACATTTCATCACATTTTGGTTAATTTTTATTTCTAAACAAGTAAACAGTTCTTCGGTAACAGGTTGAGAACAGATTAAAGATCATAATAACTAAGAGTTGTGAGTCCACTGTGATCTATATGAGGAGATTACATTGAAATACCTATATGAGGAGATTGGTTTCTCATGAAAGAAATCCTACAAACTAATTTGGGTATGCTGATGATAATGTACCAAGCCTTGATTACCATCAACTTTTTCTTTTAATCTCTGATTATGTTTATTTTGATCAGCAGAATGAAGTACATGTGACCAGATTTCTTCATGTCAAAATTTCTGTTTTTTACCCTTCCTTTGTATTTAATAAGTAAGTCACTCTACATGTCACATACTTAAGAAACAGTGTAGCAGTGGACTGTGCGTGTATCTCAGTGGTAGAGCAAATAATATGTGCAAGGCCATATATACATAGACCTTGCACATGCTACATATTTATGTTTTTTATTATATTCATCTCTTTACCCTTTCTTTACACAAATTATTTTTTCATAGCATACCATCTTACATTCTGTGATAAAGATTTT